GAATGTTGCTGAATGGCTCAGAAGGCTGCTCCCTTGTAAGCAGTTCATGTGAAGAACCTGTTCCTCTTCAAAAGGTTCACAGGAATGTTTGAAAGGTCTTTAAAAGATTCTCCATCTCCTAAATCAATCAAAATAGTAGAAGCAATCAGTAAGCAGTATTGAAAAATGACAGGTACAGGTACCAGCAGCATGACATTTTAGCCATAATGAACGGTAAAATGTAGTTTCAAGGAAGAGTGCTCAAATTTAAAAGTTTTCTTCCTTTTAAAAAAGAAACTGTAACTCAGAAATGATATTGCCATTGCCATTTTGATTGCAGAATGCATGAATATAAACAAGAAATGAATTTGCTGGCTAGGGAAAAGATAGATAGCTCTACGCAAGTGCATGAAATGTACATGAATTAGACTCAGGATGAGAAGTTTTTGTTTCCAAGTTCCTAGTTTGTGAAATGTTTTACCATACTCCTGCTCAGTGACAGATAAAACAAGAATAAATGAATATGCTGGTTATGCCAACATGTATAACTTCTTGTTCCCTAGGTCTAGATTTTTTTTAAAAAATAGAAGCTTCCTTACATTCCCAGTTGATGTACATCATCTACAGACCGTAATCCAACAAGAAGATTCATCTTTCGTTTACAAAGCACATACATCAGAAAGGTTTAACATTTTGTGAATGCACCAAAAAGACATTAAGCATCATAAGGATTGTTAGTAATATTTAGAAGCATGGAAAATAAAAACAAGCCCATTCTTCCTCTACTTTAATAATTTGTGAATTTTTTTTACCATACTCCTGCTCATGACAGATAAAACAAGAATATATGAATGTGCTAGTTGTGTCAACTAGTGACAATATTTCAGAATCTTACACACAAGCCCACAAGAGCAGTGCAGCTTTGATGCTGCTTGAGAATTTCTAACAAAAATAATTACTACAGTAAAGTCCTGACAACAGTCTTGACTTAACTTGTCACTACCACTTGAGTCATCATGCTGTCAATATTTCAGCCGCATGTATTTATACATATATAAATACTGGATGACTCGTCATTGAACCCTTTTCCTTTGGAGTGACAAATTATCAGAAGTTTATTGTATATGTATACCTTCCCCATGTGGAAACGGCTATTAGGAGGAACGCTATACTATTAAAATCTGTGCCAAAATGCCAGCGGGAACAGAAAGAGTACCATCCTCAGAAGATCTTGCCAAAAGAATCTTCCACCTGCCAAGGATCAGTGACATTTTGCATATAGAAAGCTCATAGGGGTCAACTTTTCTTCAAAATGATATTGTGATGTCAAGATCATCCACTCGTCATCAAGGCTTTCTATGACACTCCAAATCTTAAAACAACTCTGCCCCAGTAATTCTCCTCCCGTTTGTATAGCAAATTATTAATGTGAAGGCTGAATGATTGACAAAGAATACAGGGTTTAAAAGAGGTTATATGTAGGGATATATTTTCAGCTTGTACTTGTCTCTCGTATGTTTTACTTTCTTTTAAGTGCCCACTTTGATTTGAGAGAAAGCATTTGATGAATTGAAGGCCACTTTGTTAAAGAAGTGAAACAGATTTGTTCTAGTGTCATTAACCAGCAGAATATTATGTACTTTAATGAAGTAGAACAAATTTGTTCTTGGGAAAGTATCCAATGGAATATTATGCAGTGTCCATTAGCTGTCATGTCTTTACAAACTGATCAGAATCAGATTTTATTATAAAAGCTAGGGAGAATTTGATAAATCCAGCTGACAAAAACAGACAGGACATTATTATAGCTTTGCAAACTATTTGTCTGATTTGCAGAAATGGAACACTGGCATGATTAAAAATTGCTAGTCAAAGTAGAATGATTCACACACTTGCCCTTACAGATGATAAAACAGTGTTTCATTATGTGGGTTAAAAAGGCCATTGAAGTTTTTTTTTACACACACTTTATAAAATCTTTGTGTTGCTATAGCCATTTTTGTACTTCTAATTTAACTCACGTTGGTTAACTAAGATCCCACCTAAACGTGATTTGCTCCAACTCAATTTTGTCAACTGATATTATACAATACAGTATTACATTCGTAAAGCTCCTTTCACGACGGTAGGAAGTCCCAACGTGCTGAACAGTTAGAGATTAGGATCCAAGCAGACGGGGAGTTAGGATCAGGGATGATAAAATAGTTAATTATTTTGCAACAAGGCATTTCACAATCATAGTATAATTACAAAAGAAAATTATTCCGACTTCTCAGATCAACATTTGGGCAAGGCTTCACCTCTAGTAAAGTGAACTGAAGATAATCATTTTATTAAACCACCAATAAGCCAATAACACAGTTGCAATGTGAATGTGAACACACTACCAGCCACACTTGATGTTTTTTTTTCAATATTGCGAAGCACTACATACAAATCTTTCCACTCGGACTTATAACATTATTGCTTCTGGATTTACGAACGTGACATTATACCTTTGGGGCAAAATCTTTTAAAATCTGACTGGGGTGATTTTCAGTACTGCCAGCTAATGAGTTTCCACAATCTGTTTCAGTCACTGAAAAAACAGAGTAATAAAAGATTTTTTCCAAGAGCACTATAATTAAAATTGGTGGGAAATGTTCCAAATGTATTATTAGTTACCCAAAAAAGTCTGTATTATTAATTACTTGATCAACAAAAAAATTAAAATGATCCCAGGTGGACACAATTACTATAATTATCTTTATTTATTTTTTAATTGAATTCTTATGTTCCAATTCCGTTCACTTTGGACAGAATTTATGTGGATGATGAATATCTTCAGTCACTATTATTGAAAATCTAAATGTACATTCCATAGTGTAAGAGAGTTTCACTTATTTTTATCTTGTATTCTATTCCTCCATTCAAGGATGGTTGACAGAGATATGTATAAACAACATTTAGAAGCCTTCCTTATAACTAGCAAAAGTACTGGGGGTAGAAGTCAGCCAAGGCAGAGAGCTCTACCACTGGAGCTACAAAGTGCCCTGAAAAATTGACTTGACAAAAGCAATAAAATATCAGGTTTAATAAAAACAGATGCCTTAGTACACATTCCGAAAACTAAAGGGGGCTTTGGGAACTCTGATGACATTTTTTGGATTTAGTAATGATTCTTACACTGGTTTATTTATTTACTAATCTGTGTACACTGAGATGCTTTTGTATTACTGAAATAGTTTACCACATGATACTGTATATACTATATCAAAATATTTATGGACTCGATCAGCACCCACAGAACGATCCATCAGGTGGAGCAAGTTCCGCAGAAATTACAAATGATATAAAATATGAACAAGATAATTCCATTTACAATTGCAGTTTTTAAACACAAGAGATTTCATATTGTGACTCGAGACCCAATAATAGTCTTTGACAGGCCTGGGGCAATTAATTCTTCCATACATCATACAACCTCACTTCACTTCATGAATTTAAGATTCAAACTTAAGGGCAAGATCAGGACACTGCATTACAATGTACTGATGTTAATACATCAATCATTGAAGTGAAATCTAAATATCAGTACTCACTAAATCAAGTGGTTTGCAAGTGGGTGTGTTCCAGCGATTGTAAGCACACCCACTTCTAAAAATAGTTTGATTCACTGTAAGAATTATACACTCCAGGGTGGCGTTCCATCAGATCAAGCAGTGGGAAGCAGCTACAGAGAGAGAGGTCTCCGGCCTACCCTGATCTGTCTCTAAGCACCCTGGAGACAGTCAACTTCACAGCGGACACGTCTATTTACCAGGCTCCTCACATGAGGACCCGGATTAAGCAGCTGGTGCTGGGTAAACTTGGTGCGTGGCATTGGACTTGGACCTCAAGAACATCAAGGTGGCCGGCACATCACAAGCTGTCCTGTAAAGGTTCTCCCACCATACTGAAGGCAGATGCCCGTCAGATAGCTGACGAGGAAACTCTGAGGCTTGGGGCAATAGCTGCTAGAAAGCGTTACCTGGAGTCCGAGTTTGTGAACATGTACTTGTACATCCAGCGCCTGGAATCTACTTTGATTGGCCTGCAGAGAGGCAAGCATCTGCTGCTTAAACTTCGCACCTCCAACTGGTGGAGCCATCACTCAATGGGAAGGGACGTGATCTGAGCTGCAGACAGGAAGATGGTGGCAATGCTCTCATGCATTTCACGCTGAGCTGTGGCGATCCCCAGAAAGCTGGCAGAGAACTCCTGGTACATACCATCTACCAAATGAGGGCTCAAACCCACATTTGTCTGATATTAAATGATCAACTAGTGACTATCCTCCTGTGGGGGGGTAGGGGGGGTAGAGGGATCTCCTTGGAGATTAACTGGCTCCAAGATGACATGTTTGGCCACAGAAAATGTCGGAACTAAAACTCTTTATGGCGGTCTCAGTAGTCCAGTTTCTGAGCCAGGATCCACATCCAACCAGGCTGGCTTATCAGCAGGACTTGGAAGGGCAAACTGGTTACTGAGAGCAGAGACTCTTCCCACTCAGCTCCCGTTAACCCTGCAAACCAAAGCCCTAACAGACAGGGTGGTCCAAGCTGGATAAGTAGCAGGAAAGCTTGCCAGGCAGTGGTGTCAATGGCAAGCTACGTGGTTTAGCTGGATAGATTGCAGCAGTACCTCAGCATACACTCTGAGGGTCCCCAAGCCTTGGCTCTTGCCAAGCTGCTCCAGAATTAGGTAAGCAGGATGCATCCCTCCAGGGAGACTGTGCATTATTCCAACAAATATTTTTGCAATCTGCATCTGTAGGTGGGATGCATGTAATTGTCAGTCTGCGTTGGATACCCTTAAGTGTGTTGATGAGTTTCCCCCATGCATCAGACACCTGGCTGACTGAAAAAAGAATGCAGAACATCGGGCTTCAGTGACATTAAATCATTGCTTGAGCTTTGATCTTGTGATTTACATGATCCCAACCCTCAATGCATCAGTCTATTCTAACATAAACTAGCCAATGGGTTATGCTAAATTAAAAGTTAACCAGGATGACCTGCAAACTGAAGCTTCAGTCCAGTTCCAAGTAAGCAAACAAACAATCTCTAAAACATGAATAACAAGGCACAATTGTTAATCTTCAATGTGGAAACTGTTACCCCAACTGAAAATAATCCTTTTGGGGAAGAGTACAAGACTTAAACCATCGTCCAGCGCCTTGGGACGTCCTCCTGATGTGAAAGGCGCAATACAAATGTAATTTTTATTGTTGTTGTCTTACCTCTAGTAAACAAGATTTGTCATATTCCTTGCGATGACGATAGATGCATTGACTAAGCAAAGAATAAAGCTTTTCAAGTTGATCAACCGTGAAGTTATTACTCTTCTTAACGGCCAACTGGAGAAAATGCTACAAATGAAGGTGAAAGTTATCTCAGTACTGGTCAAATAAATTGCAACCGGCTATACACATTTAACACTTGTCATAAGTTGATTTGTATGATTTGTATACTTTGTATCAAAGTATGCAACAATAGTCATGGTAGCTAAAAAATAATCCTTGCATTTTATAATAATAAAAGCATTAGATAGTAGTTTAAATAATCACTATGGTGATCAAACAAAGTATATATTTCAATGTTTTTACTGAAAGCAAAGTTGTGAGCAATTTTCCCAGGTTAAAAATCTGAGGTTACAAAACATCAATTTTCAACAGTAGGTACATTAATCTGTCCAATGTTGTGTAAATGGAAATTTTCCTGAGTGTTTTTTTAAAAAAATAAATAACTGTACAGATTTCGCTGCTGATTGTATTCATCCACATAAAGCCGGGTTTCATTTTCAGACTCACAAGTAAGAATCGAATCATCGGAAGAAAAAGAATCATATTTATCAGAATAATAATTCTTGCATTTGATACAGTGATTTATCATGTCCTTGACAACGCAACTATCTTCAATGTAATGCTTAGATTTTGTGACAACTAAAGGAATAAAGAAATAGATAAAACACAAAGGAACCATTCAAAGCAAAAAAAACTTGAGGATTACTGTTCCGTAATCTTGAGTTTTCCAAAGAAAGTCTCTTTTGTCAACATTTGCCTAGAAGTCAATCAGCACTTTAACTCCATGCCTGCAACAGAATTATAACAATTTCTCTAAAGAATTCTAATTGTAAAGATTATATGAAAACATGGGTAAGCATTAATTTTAAATGGTGTAGACAAGAGGCAATACAGCAAATTGCAAAGAATCTTTCCTAATATAGAAGCTGATTGTACACGGTCAACACCCATTTCAGAGCAGCAAAGCCAAGCTTTCAATCAGCAAATTAAATTGGTCTAGCATTTCCAGACATTGACGAGAATCAAACTCAACTGAAGAATACATTTATTGTTTTCTGCTATTTCCATCTCTTTAAATCTTTCCAAACATCAGTATGCTGTGACCTCACTAATAATAGCTGATAGAACTGGTAAGATCGATGTGCCTGAAATAGGAGGTTGCAGAGATAATGAACTCGGGGTAATTTGTCCCTTTCCCCAGTGTTAAGCATTAGACTGACCACAAAGCTTTACAGCTTGAAATGGAAGAAGCTGTGAGTCCAAAAAGTGTAACACCTACCATCATCTTATGCATTAATATTGGACACATCTCAAAATCAATGCTACTGTTTTGGTTTGTATGAAAAACTGCACAAATTGCTATACTTGTGTAATTATTCATGGTTAAAGCTTGTGGGCAATTGACTCTAGAGCCACTGGTCCATTGGGTACTTTGACACAAATCAGATTGCAAACCAGCTGTGATGCGAATTGAAAAAAAATAGTGCCATTAGAATTGAAGAGTACTTAAATAAGAGAATTAAAAGTCTCCAATTTAGAATACATAAGACTCCAGATAATGAATCCTAACCTGAAAAGGAATTTTATCAACTACAAATCTAAAGTTCCTACCTGGAGATGTCAATGGCTAAAGATATACCAAACACAAATAACACCTAATTAACTCACCTAGAATTTGGAATGCACTGCCCCAGAACTCATTAGTGCTGTAAAGATTGAGATGGTCAAAAGAAAAATATTGAAAAGGGTACAATGTCATGACCTAATAATATAATGCAATCTTGACATATTCCTGATGACAATGGCAGACATGGAATCTGGAGTCACAAAACTGTGGCCAATGTTGATATACAAAGTAAACTCAGTAAATCTAAAACAAGTATTCATTTGGAATAGAATTATCTACAAGAATACAGCTTTCCTACAGCAAATAACATCAACAATTTCTGCAAAGACGTCTCAGAGGAGCAGGGCAAGATTTCAGTCAGTATATTGGTCCAGCATTTCCCGGACTAGGATTTGTTCTTTTTATTTTTTACTTCCCAACTTAACTTCCAATGTACTCCTCATTGGCGTCCCTAGCTGCACCATCCGCAAGCTCCAGCTCATTCAAAACTCTGCTGCCCATATGTTCACCCACAACAACTCTGCATTCCTATCACCCCAGTGCTTGCCAGGCTTGAAAATGATGACATGGATAAAACTCGCAGAGTCCAATTAAAAAAAAGCCAGATTTTAGGAAGAGGCTGTGGCCTTTCAGTTACTAAATCAAGAGATTTACTAACTGAATCCCCAGTAGCCTCAAATGTGGAGTCAACTATCTCAGCCACAAAGAGCCACTTAAAGACCAGTGCATCTGCTAAACCAATGACATACTAAATTGGATCACATATTTGAAGCATGCTAGGAACAAGAGAATCATTGAGTTACAATGACTATAACCACATTGATGAAACATGGAATCGTGAAAAGTTGTGGCCACGTGAGAGAGAATAAGGTAAGAGACATTAAAGACTTTAAATAAGACCTGGTCTGCTTGGTCATGTGAACATTGAAGATCCCAAAGCAAATTGTTTAAAAAAAGAGAAGGGTATTTGTCCCAGTGTCCTGGTCAGCAATTCCCCAGATTAAAATGGATCATTTTCTTCATGGCTGTTTATGGACACTGCTGTGCACAAATTAGCTGCCACATTTGCCTACAAAATTCAGTCCTTCAATATGTCCTCCCAAAGTGAAAGGCACTCTATGAAATGCAAGCATTAATTCTTCTTCTGACCTCTGCAGAAGTGAAGCAGAAAACTACTCTGTGACACCCACTTTGTCGAGATAAAGGTAACAACTCAAAGAAAAACAAAACGTGTCCAGTTATGGAAATAGAATATTAACCAAGATTTTTCTCTAACATGGCTATACAATCATTAAACAGTCTCTTACCTTTAGTTGTGCATGGTCTACAATTAGTGGAGGGATAGGTTCCAAAATGTCTTCCAACACCTGCTCCATATGCACCACTGTCTGATGCTCTGCATGTGCTGGCTGCCCCTGCTTCACACTGCCCAAAACTGAAGATTTTAAATAAATAAATACATTATATTCTGTTACTCTTATCAACAATAGACAAACTATAGGCTTTTTTCATAGTTAAAACAAGTCAAAATATGAAAAGGGAAAATTTGACCACTTGTGGATCACCGAAATATTTAGAACTCTGACATCCAATAATATGGGTTTTTATCTGGAAAATTGCAATGATAATTTGAATTGCTGCCACCCACAGTAGAGAAGAATCAAAGTACAAATAGGACAAGTGGTAGGCACACAAGAAACTTAAAATTTTATATTCTGAAGAAGCCAATCCACTAAATGTTCACATTGTAGATCCCAGGTAACTCAGCTCAAGTGAAGCAGTGTACTTGTGACTATTAAGTTCTGGGTTCAAAGATCAATGGATATCCTCATCCCTGAACTCTTTGAATGTTGATAATGAGCACCATGTCTAAAAAATACAATCTTGGGAGGCTGTGGGAAGGGGAAAGAAAGAGACGTAAAAGGCAACTTCCCTGAGATTGAACTGGCTCTGAGGAGACGGGTTTGGCAACTCTGCAGACAAACTACAAACTATGCAGCGACATTGTTGACTGTTAACAAGGGATTGCTATCCCAGTGCTTTGTCTGAATCGCAGGATTTTAATGCCCCAAATCGCAGGATCCTGAGGTACTAGATCTTGCTTCAGAAAAACATCAGGGAACTCGGGAAGGGCGCCAGTGCTGCTCAGCCACCTCTCCCCGACTCAGTCACTGACTCACCTGCTTCCCCACCTACCTCAGCAACACAGCGGCCTGACACTAAGGTTTGACCAAGACAGCCAGCAACCAGTGGGGGAGTGGGGGGATTTAGTGACGGATGGCAGTTGACAGGGAGGGGGATAGTGATGAGCAGATTTATAATAATAATAATAATATTATTATTATTATATTGACAAGACGAGAGTTGCACATACAGAAAGAGTGACAAAAAAAGTCAGTGGCAAATACAGATATCGAGAGAAGAGACATACATCCAGTAAAATAAAGAGAGAAAAGGAGGACATAATAGAATAGGACTGAAAAAGTTAATGGCACAAACAGAGGGGGAGAGATAGATGTAGATTTACGGAAAAACTGAACAAGGTTCAGTGGCACATCTGGAGAGGGAGAAAGAATGTCAAATACAGAGAGGTTGATAATTTCTAAAGGATAGAGGGATTTAGGGATAGGGGATAGGGGCAGGCTCGAGGGGCCGAATGGCCTACTCCTGCTCCTACATCTTATGGAGTGAAAGAGACTGACCAAAAACAAAAAATGAAATACCGACAGGACAACAGATAAATATAACACAAACAGAAAAAGAGTACTGAGAGGTTTGTGTATGGGGTCGGGGGCAGACAAAAGAGAAAGCATCAGGATTTCCAGAATTGCAACCAATCTTACTGGTTCATCAATCAGATATAGATATCCAGACATGCCCTCAACCTTGTATGCCGAAGCCAACTGGACCTTACTGGACAAGTATCAAGAGGTGTACTAGTGCTTCACATGAGTAACTGACTATGGTTACGTAATATTGTATCCAGAATGAATTTGAAGAAGCAGTTAATCCAGTTAATCTCAATCAAGTGCTGAAACAATTCATGTACACAAAGTTAACTTCACATCCACTATAAGTTAAAATATGTATGTTTATCATCTCCTAACTTGTTTTGTGGCTCCCTTATCCTCCATTACTCTCGCACTTACTGGCTACACTGAATCGTGGAAATTACTTGTTTACCCATCGACGCATGCGCACTTACCGGCTGGCTGCATTGAATCACAGGAAATGCAGTGTTGATCTGTAACTGCATGCACACAAGAACTTAATTTTCCCTGATTCAATGCAATTCCAATGCTTGCTGGTATGTGCATATGCAGCGACGGGTCAAGACACATGGAATCACAGGAAACGTTCCAGCTGCACTGAATTCCACATGCGCAGTGTAGATTATTGATTAAATCGGATTTTATACTACATTTACAGTTGCCTGTACCTCAGACTTTGCCTAAGTCATATTGGATGTGATGATCCTGACTGATACAACTTATGGGAGGTTTACTGTATATGTGCAGAACAATTCAGTTGACAAACTAAGCTTACCATCCTTTTCCAATTCTAGTGCTTTTAGAGCAATATCTTCATTCTGAGAACACTTCACTACAATATCTGGCTGTGTTGGATGAGTATCTGAGTGAGAACTTTCTTCAACCAGGTGCTTTCTGTCTTTTTCCACCACAGGTATTTTTGCGTTTGGCACAAGCTGAATCATGGATGCCTTGGTATGTTCACATTCCTTCCCACGTTCATGCTTTGCATCAGACAAATCATCTTTACCAGGGATAGAATCATCATTAGGTGTGTATTCCCCACCAGCCAAACACTCCTGACTGGGTTCACTCTCAGCACTCGCCATGGACTCGTCGCTCCACGTGCACTCAGTGGGTGCCGACTCCTTTCCAGCACTGCAGGCATCGTTAGGTACACACTGTTCTCCCGGAGCAGCTTTTTCTTTTGTTAAAGGAAACTCATTGTTTCCATCCGTTAAAAAGTCTGCACAATCTTCTTTGCCAGTGGATTTGACACCCGCGCTCTCTTTCTTTATTGTACCATTTTCAAGTTTATTTGCCATCTGGTTAACATCCATGATGTCACATGATGACTCGTCATTGGTGAGGGAGAGGTCTCCATTCTCCTCGGGATAATCTGTACTCACTTCCAGTTCTCCATTCTCTGCCAGCTCACTCTCTTCACCTAGATCGCCATCAGCCTCATAACTCTTGTTGAAGTCGTCTTTCTTGAGATGGTTCACCTTTTTAGATTTCTTAATAATGCCACGACCCCATTTAGAACGTCGACGTGGTTTCCTTTTAATCTGAACTGTTAAGTGAAGCAAAACAGAAAATAAATGGCAAGGGTGAATACAGGCTGAACATTCATTTAGACATTTATTTCATAGGAGTCTGCCTCTTAATCTGCATCTTAACTGACCTGCATCTTTATCAGTAGCATCAGTGCCATGTGTAGAGGGGAAGCAATGGTATTTGTATTAAAAGCCATAATTTTTTTACATTTTTACAGAGCTATTCCTTTATAACCTACAATGTTTTCCACCTTGCATGTGCACAGATAAACAGCCAGCTTCTTGTGTGTTAAAATATGGCAGACTTCAGGTCATCACTGACATCACTTCCTGCACACTACACATGTGTACCATCTTCCCGCGCTATAAAGATGGCCAACTTCCCGGAAGTCAGTAATATTCTTGTTGGGAGTAACTCTGGTATCAGAGGAGGAAGTTACAAACTTGCAAAGAGTACTCAAAATAATAAACACTCAACAGACCACTGTCAAATGAGGTTCAGAGATGCACAACAGAAAAATACAGCAAATAAATATACTGAGACATGTGAACAGGTTGGAACTTACCATGCAAGAAATTGAACAGACTTAGAGGGATTCATTAACTCATCATTCACCAGTTCCAAACAGTATAAGACAGAAATATTGGCAAATATTAGGGCAAATATTCCAGTGATGGGAAGAAAGCAGAGTTTGTATTCTGGAAGGATAAGATCAAATGGCCTGAACAGCCTCCTTCATCCATATCAATTGTGATTTTGTAAAACTTATTGCAAGTCTGGATAATACTGAATGAAGAATATTTCCCTAAAGATATTTGGGAAACATGTTTATTTAAAAAGCATTGAACCATTGGGGGGATGATGATGAGCCTCGATGTATGCCATATTCTAAGTGCAATGAATTTATACACTTTCACCAAGATTTATAATACTGTATATGGTTTTTAAACAGTTCTTGCATGCAACACCTGCCTGAAATCATTCACTGACCTATTGTATGAAGAAAACTTTAGGCTCAGATTAGATTAGCTGGCCAAAGGCATCAATATTAATGCCTACAACGATTTCCATTACTTTGTTTCAAACGTGCCATAGCAAAACAATAATCTGTGCACGATTAGTGCATTGGAAGCGGATTCATATAAAATGATAACAATTGCTATACAGTCAGAGCAGGGAATTTATGCTTGTGGCATATTGTATTATTGTCAAAATTGAGTTCTGGTGAGTCACCAAAATATTTTTGTGCAGTAACTGCAATACTCCAATATAATAAAGCCCAAAATGTAAAGAAACTATAACAATATCATATTGCTTACTTGTCTGCTTGCATTCCCCATTTGTGGTCCTTGCTTCTAAATTGTGAGATGAATCTTGAGTTGAATCTTCTCGCTTTGCTGTTGCACTATGATTTGTTTGTTGATCTACTGGTGAGATGCCTGCATAGAGTAGACAAATAACGTTTCTGCATGATTTTACAATCTGCAGTACTACGTCCCTTACCAGATACTCCACAATTACATATTCAAAAAGTCACTCATATCACACAATCACTTGGGTGACCTTAAAGATGTCATGAGTAATTCTGCACATCTCAGAACATTTCATTTAAATTATTATACTATGGAGAAATTGAACAAGCAATCTGGATATATTTGGCCCTTAAGTATTTCAAAATTCAGCATCTTACAAAAAATAATTTATTAAAAACATATCTACACAACAAAGCTGATGCAGGAACTAAAAGCATCAATACTTTTGAGTAAGTATTTACAAAGTTTACTGGGACACTACTCTAAATTGTGGCACCCAGTGGTTGAAAGCTGATATTACAGTACTTCTTAAAATTATTTTCAAGGAATATATCAGTTTTAGAATAGCCTAAAATATAAGATAATATCCTCATTATCCTAATGGAATTTTAAACGTATCTAGTTATCTAATAGAGATGTTTAAGTTTAAGAAAGGATTAAATAAGATAATAGGCTATATATTGTATATCATAAATCATATATTATATATAATATATACATGCCAGAAGCTGTGATTGAAGCAAAAAGCATTAATGGATTATAGAAGAAACTTGATTCATAAATGGGAGAAAAGGGAATAGCGGGCTCCGGTCTACTCCATGTCTCCGGCCCGACCCGCCCTACCATCGGTAACCGGACTTTCAGCTTCTCTGCCCCCACACGCTGGAACTCCATCCCACAGTCCCTTCGACTCGCTTCCTCCCTTGCCTCCATCAAGGCTGGTCTCACGACCTTTCTCTTCGATCGTGCCTTTGGTTACCCTCCCAGCTCTCCGCCTTCCCTCACCCCTACACCACTCCTCCCCATTCTCAGACCCCGACACCTGACTGTTCAGCGCTTTGGGACGTCCTCCCAACGTGAAAGGCGCTCTATAAATGTAATTTTGTTGTTATAGGAAGGGTGGAGGTTCAAGTGACGTATAAACTGGTAGCTCCTCCAGAAAACAAAAATCACCAAAGTATCCCTGTAAACAAGGCACACTTTGAAAAATCATTGGAATAGGTAGAAACTGTTTTATAACAATGATGATTTTTCTATATGCAGAGGGAAGCACTTTGACCAAGTAGCAGTCTCCAGATTTAATTTCCACTTTAAACCAAAATCATGCAATTGATGGTTGACCTTTGTTGCTCGGATTTCAATGACACAGATATAGAAAGTATTCAAAAAAATAACTGATGGAATATGTGAAGAGGTGGTTTAAACTGTGAAAAATATATCAGCACTTGATTCCTAGCTTTCAATTTGATGTGATACATGTGTCCTATTTATTTACCCAGAGCATAATTAATGATTGCAACAAGTTGCCATGAAAGGTGGTTAAGGCGAGGACCCTGTTTAAAAAACAGCTTGATGCTCAGATGGGAAGGAGTAATGGTGGGTATTCTGGAAAGTTGAGATCAAATGGGCCAAAGGGTCTTCTTCATTTGAACCTATCCCCTTGTGAATATAAATGAGCTTTATACCAAAGAAACTGGAAATAAAGGTTTTTTTTCCAACTTAGGGATGCAGACTATGACAAAAACAATGCATACAACACTCGACATAAGTAACTTTCTGAATTGTAAAATCAATTCAAGTAATTCTCTGGTTATAATCTGTAACCTATCAGACACAAAACTATTTTTAAAACTGTCTGGGTACTAAACACAGAAACGCAATACCGAGACTCCATGCAGACAACAGATTCACCGTGTATGTTTTTCATTTATCTGGTTTGAACTCTGCACACTCTTTTTGAACTAGACACTAAACAATGAAATCCAACCCTTGTTGATCTAGTAGTTTACAACAGAAAGAGCATCTGCTTTTTAAAATGCACTTAGGAAGACTGATGACGCACTCTCAGATCAATTGAGGAGACGCTCACCACTGACTCAAGTGTGTTTGGTACAGTCATCAACCGAAATATGTAAGTAAGTATTCAAGCAGCATAAATTTTCAAAATGCTCTGCCCTACTCATTTGTTTTCCCCACTGAGTAGGGAAAAAGGCCACTTTTCTTTCAAAAAAGGTATCACTGCAATTTGTTCACCAGTATCGTACCTTGTTTTCTCCTGGATTCCCTGATATCTTCACAGAGTTTGTTAAATTCAGGATCCAGTTCAGCCGCGACTATTGCATGGGAAGTATCTTTGAGCGTGCAGGCTCTGTGCCGAATTATACGATCTTCAAGACAGACAAACAGTTCAATAAAGGCATTGTTATGAAAAACCAAAGTAGATTACACAAAGCAAACCAAACAACACTGCTAATGTTCCTGAATGGATTAAAGACTCCCCTGTGTATAACTGGTTAGTGAGTTATAAACGAAAACTGAGGTTGGTGATAGATAGTCTTTGGTTACCATTATTTTAAAAAATGCTTCAACGTTGTTATTTTTGTTTAAAGAACACTATAAAGTTCTCATATTTTATCACATTAAAAAGTTCAAAGCATATAAACACCCAAGTTATAGTGTACTTTGTATTTTCAATGATTGTAAAAAATATTTTCTTGAGCATCTTTTTTGTAAAAAGTATGGCACTTGAATGTTAGATGCTAAAGGGCCAATTTTCTGCAACTAAGTGATACAACACAGGCATTTCTCCATTGGGAACTAGGAGACAAGGGGACAATAAATAAACACTAAAACAAAGGAAAGTCACCCTGTGTTGAGATCCTTCACCTGCTCATGGTTCACACAAAAGCAACATTGGCAGAGCCCCAAAACAGATTGCCTGTCAGATCTTTTAGTAGGACTCTACTATTTTGCTTAAAAGATGAAGAAAATTCAATAAAATTAAGATACTAAAAGAGGAATGATGTCACAAAATCATTCATAGGCTAACATGAAAGCTAATAGAGCTATTTCAAATGACAACAACAACAAAATTACGTTTGAATAGCGCCTTTCATGTTGGAAGGACGTCCCAAGGTGCTGGACAATCAATGTTTCGGATCCGAACTGGGGGTCGGGATCGGGGAGAGTGGAGGGGGGTGGGGGGGGAGGAGGGTGATCGAAGGCAGTCGAAGAGGAGAGTCTTGAGACGGATCTTGAAGGAGGCAAGGGAGGAGGCAAGGCAGAGGGACTGCGGAATGGAGTTCCAGATTGACAGAAGGCCCGCCCGACAATGGTGGGACGGGCAAGATGGGGGACGTGAAGCAAGACGGAGCCTGCTGAGCGGACGGATGGGCAGGTTGGTAGAGGGTTAGGAGGTCGCAGAGGTAGTGGGGAGCAAGGCCATGGAGGGCTTTGAAGGTGAGGACCAGGACATTGAACTGTATCCTCTGTGTGATGCCAGTGCAGACGGGCGAGGATGGGGTTGATAAGGTCACGGAGCTTGGTGCGGGAGAGGACACGGGCTGCAGGGTTCTGGATGAGCTGCAGCCTATGGAGGGAGGAGTTGGGGAGGCCGATAAGCAGAGAGTTTGCGTAATCGAGCCTGGATGTAATGAATGCATCTGTGAGGGTCTCGACGGCCTGCAGTGTGAGACAGTAGCGGAGCCGGGCAATGTTGCGGAGGTGGGGGAAGGCAAAGTGGGTCATGACACGGATGTGGGGTAGAAAGGATAGTTGAGGGTCTAACAAGACCCCAAGGTTCCAGGCTGGCTCACTGAGGTGGAGTGTGCATCCTTGAATGGTGATGCTGTAAGCGCCCGAGGTGTGGAGGCACTGATGGTAGCCAATCAGGAGAGCCTCGGTCTTGTTGATGTTCAACTGTAGAAAGTTAGCTTTCATCCAGGACTTGATGTCTGACAGACATTCTGTCAGGACAGCAGTGGTCCTGGAGTCGAGGGTGGAGGCAGAGAGGTAGAGTTGGGCGTCATCCACATACATATGGAAATTGCTCCCATGTCTGTGGATGATGTCACCAAGAGGGAGCATATAGATATTGAAAAGGAGGGGACCAAGACAGAGCCCTGAGGAACACTGCACAAGATGATCCAGGGGCTAGAGGAGAAGCAGTTTGTGGAGATGAAGTGGAGACGGTGTGAGAGGTAGGATCTGAACCATTCAAGGACAGAATCATGAATGTTGAGGTGAGAAGAGAGGCAGTAGAGGAGGATAGAGTAGTCAACGGTATCAAAGGCAGCAAAGAGGTCAAGGAGGACGAGAAGGCAGAGGGAGCTCTGGTCGTAGATGGAAAAAAATGTTATTTGTCATCTTGACCAAAGCTGTTTCTGTGCTGTGGGTATCACGGAAGCCCAATTGGAAGGGTTCGTGATGGGAGTGGCAGAAGAGGAAGGAGTGAAGCTTGGAAGCAACGACTCGTTCCAGGACCTTGAAATAAACTTCAATCACTGTAATTAAGTTAAATTAACTAAATCCAGCTGCATTTTTCCAATTTGAATCAGCCAGTGAGCTGCTATTTGAATTCCTTGTGACGTTTCATGAGCCCTTTCTGAAGAAAAGAACCTGTTTCACGTAACCATGAAGAAGCATGTAATAAGCAAAGTAAAGCACTGGTTGGACCAAATAAGATACCAAACTTGGCTGTAATGATACATTTTGAGTCAACGTGAAGCCTTTACATTTGAGTTGGATATGACATGCTCTTCCACAACAAATTTGCCATCCCTGAATGTTGCAATACATAGATTATTAGTACTCAGACCATTGTGAAATTGTTTGACCCTCAGCTCTCTCTTAAGCCTTTCATTCAATCCTTTACATATCTTCTTTCCTCAATCTCTAAATCATTATCCAACATCATCCCTACCTCACCCAATGCAGCCAAAACCCTCACATGTGCCTCTATCACCTCCAGACTTTCTCCAATGGACTGGTCACTGGCCTTCTCAGGTCTACTCTCCACAAGCTGCAAATAGCAGAAATTCACAGCTCGCATCATTGCCCATACCAGACTCCATAAGCCAAACATCCCAATGCTTGCCAGGCTCCCTCCCAGATTCTCTTTAAAATTCTCGCTCTAACACCTCCACACTCAACAGTATCTTTTAATTCCAGCAGTCCTGCTCACTCCCTCTGGTTTGCTTACTCAGACTCGCTAGGCATCCCATATCTGGTCACCAATCGATGAGCTTTCAGTCACTTTGCCCCCTATCTCTGGAATTTTCTCACCTTCTTCATTCTGCTTTCAAAACCGATCTAAAAATCTCACTTTTAAAGCACCCTGGGCCACTTCCCTCCTACCCATTTCCTCCGGATCAGGGTCCCATTCTGTCTCTGTGATTAACCGTAGAAATTTATAGCAGAAGGAGGCATTCAGTCAATCTTGCCTATGCGTATTAGCTATTCATTTAGTCCAATTGCCAGGTATTTTTTTCATCTATAATAATAATAATCCTTGCATTTGATATAGCCCCTTATCACGTCATTAAGGCATCTCAAAGCAGTTGATAGAATATACTGTATATTTTTGGGGCAGAACACAGCAGCCAATTGTGCACAGCAGTGTCCCACAGTCGCGGATTGAGCGACCAAATTATTATTATTATTTTTTGTGAAGGGGATTATTAAAGCGATCTGCCAATCGACTAACAACCGGGTTCCTATTTACTGCTAGCTAAAAAGAGGCGTGTGGATAAGGAAACTTGTCTAAAGTGTCGGCCTGCCTGAGAATCGAACCCGGGTCCTTTTGCTAGTGAGGCAAATGCTCTAACCAATATGCTACAGCACTCTGAATATACTCTAGCATCAGGACAATAACTTGCATTTTTATAGCATTCTTGGTGTAGGGTAACGTCTTGGAGTGCTTTACGGGAACAGGGTTGGAGTGCAAGCCCGGGGCAGGGGAGGGAAGAGTGAGGTGGCAGGCATTTTCAAAGAAGTAGAATTCTTGAAGACAAAAAGGGAGTGAATCGGGAAGGGTAAAAGGATGGAGTTCCACAGCTTATGGTGTAGGAACTGAAGATAATAATAATCCTTGTATTTGATATAGTGCTTTTCATGTCTTCTGGACATCTCAAAGTGCTTCATAGAATATGCTGTAAAGTGAATTGACTGTATATTTGTGGGCGAAACGCATAAGTAAAAAAGATAAGAGTTGGAGAGAGCAGGGGATGTGCAAATAGCCTGAGTTGGTTCAGCGGAAGGGACATCCAGAGGAGTAGGTAGGTAGAAGATCGAAGAGATAAGGAGGTCCTAGGAAGTATATGGATTTGTAAGCCAGGATGAAGACCGTGAAGTCAATGTACTGGGAGACTGGTGAGGACCGGCCAAGAGTCAGAGCCTTCAAGAGGGAAGAAAAATGGTAAACTATTTTCTTTGTTTGTGAGCCCTTATTGCAATATTAGAAATACAAAACAAATTATTTTTCAACAGGAGTTTTCAATTCATCCTACCTCCAGGATCTTTATCAGGATTGTACTCAAGAGCATTGCTACAGATGAGGCTAATATCTGTTAGGAAATGTTGCACGGTTTCATATTGGTGGTTGTCAATTTTTGTCATTATTGTTGATAAATCCATTGGCTGTTTGATGACCTCCAAGTAGTCAGAAACCTAAAAATTAAAAGGAAAACAGTAAGTAATGCTATTAAGAAACTGAATCAATGAGAAAGGAAGACAAATGCGAATTTCAAACAAAAAAAATCAATGAAACATGAAATCTAACTGTTAAACCTAACAGTCCATTTCTCTAACTACCATGCCTTTTTTGGACTCTAATTAAATATTTCAACTCGGGAGAAAAGTTTTCCCCTTTTGTTCCATGGTAATTCAATGAAACTACAGGATACCAAAGCAACTTAACTCAAGGCTAGCCATTTGCCAGTCAAAAACTATAGTTTTCCATAGACTTCTCTCCATCTATCCTCATCTCCACGTATCCTTAACTTTCAACTCTCATTTTACAAAGGAGCATAATGCTAAATACGGAAGTCAAATGAGAGGAAGTTTGAAATAGAGGATTCAACATTCAATCTACTAAATTGATGCAAAAAATGAGTAAGGCTATTGTCTTTCACTATCAAAACTTTACCTAACAAATGCACAGTTTGTAATCAAGATTGAAATTAGCAAGGAAAAAGAAAAACAGTACAAACTTTTTGTTGTCACCCTTAATACTTCCAACAATATGAGTCCATTCTAAACCTAAATGTGAGTTATTGGAATGAAACATTTTCAGGCAAAGAATCAGTGCCCGAATAATCTCACTCAAACTAATAAACAAAATGGTGGCAGCCTAAACATGCGAACTTGAAGTCCTGATGCGAGTTTTAAATCCACAATCCCCTAACACAAAGGAAACTGAGCCAAGCTGACATCTTCTAACACAAACTGAGCCAAGCTGACATCTGATCATATCTGATACACTTGAAAATGTTTTATGGAAGGACAAGTATTGATAAATACAAGTGCAGCTCACATTGACCTACAAAATGATAAGTGAACTTTATGGTGCCAATAATAATAATCCTTGCATTTGATATAGCGCTTTTCACGTCGGGAGGACGTCCCAAAGCGCTTCACAGAACACACTGTAAAGTGAATTGACTGTATATTTGTGGGCGAACGCGGCAGCCAATTGCGCACAGCAATGTCCCACAAACAGTCGTAGATTGAAAATGACCAATTTATTATTGTTTTTGGTTTTGGAGGGATCATTATTAGGCTCTGTGTGGAGTAAGGAAACTTGCCCAAGGTTTCGCCCTCTGCCTGGAATTGAACTCAGGTCTCTCACTTGCAAAGCGAGTGCTCTAACCACTGAGCTACAGGACTCCACAATGGTTTAAAATATAAAATACCAAACCGGTTTTGAAAACATAACTCACATTCTTTGCTTAAATTATATGGGAACGTTTTTTAAAAAATAGCACATATGAATCATAATTATCATAGCCAAAGGGGTATCTTTTTAATTTGTCAGTCTCTGAAAATTATTTTTATCTTCACAAAGCAAAGATCAAGATACTCAATTACAAAGAGAAAAAGCGCTTAGATGTTCAAAGAAATTTACGTGACTTAAAATGATGTACACCACGCAGTGCAGCATGTTGGGAGCATCAAAAGCATGTTATTCCTTTGCCTGTGATCACACACGTCCCAACCACTCCCACATAGAGGGGTGGGAAACACAGCCAAGCTAATTTTTGATGGGGGACTTGGGGGGGAAAAAAAAAAGGATGAGAATCTAATCATCTTGGGTTGTTTGTGTGCATCTTTAAGCAGCTAGTAACAACACAGAATCAAAAAGTCCAAGATTAAATTAAGTAATTTGAAATCATCTGAGTTGCCCAATATTCATTTTCAAGTGCCATTTTTAACTGTTTACTTTAGTCAAGAAAAAATGGGTTCAGCCATTTGTAGTATTCTATGCCTTTAGTTTCTTGTAACTACCATCGGTGGTCGGGCCTTCAGCCTCTCAGCCCCCAGGCTCTGGAACTCCATCCCCCAGTGCCTTCGCCGCCTCCTCCCTTTCCTCCTTCAAGGCCGGTCTCAAAACCTTTCTCTTTGACCGAGCCTTCAGCTCCCCTCTCGACTCTCCTCCTCGCTCCCTCCCTTCCCTCCCCTCACCCTGACCATTTCCCCCCTGCTCGGGTCATGACCCAACTGTGCAGCGCCTTGGGACGTCCTCCTGACGTGAAAGGCGCTTTATAAATGGAATCTTGTTGTTGTTGTATAAATGTTTCAAAGTGTCAGGAAATGAAGCACATATCCATTACATTTCAACACAGTCCCCAGATCATTGAGCCCTGTCATCAACAGATTCTTGTTTAAGGACAGATAAGCAAGCCATTTCCCAATGGCCTTACATTTAGAGGAATGCAGACTGAATAAGTGAGGAAAGTCTATTTCCACTGATTTGTGAATCGGTTAAAAAAAAGGCACACATTGAGCAAGTAGTATCATTAGAAGGAAAGGAAGCATAGAAACATTGTTTCATTACATAGGGGATTGTCGAAATCCATACCTTATCAAAATTACTGTTAAAATACGGTCCATTTGACACCACTTAAAAGGAAATTGGATGAATATTCAAGGCAAAATAAAAGAACAGGGACAGAGCAGGGGAATGGGATAAGAGTAGATGGGTCCAGTGGGGGAAGCTATCATAGCACGAACAATGGCCTTTTTCTCTGCTATAAACTTTCTACTGTATGTTTGCATTTTTAACATGAGAAGATAAATGGCCAAGTGCATATTATTTACAGAAGCTCTGTTCAACACATGTCTAACTTGCTCATTTAAAAATAAATACTTGCCAAACCAAGATGTAAGTTAATGGAATAAAACATTTCCAGAAATATGTTTGAAGTTACAGAGTAAATAGGAGGGTTGGGATTATTCAGAACAACACGTTTTTGAAAGAAACCCTGGTGGTACATTTTCCCCTTCTTTTGATAAATACTATTTAATAATAATCCTTGCATTCATTGTAGCACCTTATCATGTCTTTGAGACGTCACAAAGCGCTTCATAGAATATTTTGTAATGTGAATTGACTGTATATTTTGGGGCGAAACTCGGCAGCCAACTGCACACAACAACAACTTGCATTCATATAGCGCCCTTCAGGCAAGGTAGCGTCCTGGAGCGCACAGGGGCGTCCCACAAACATTTTTGAAGGTATTACTATCCCTGGAAAAGCAATCCGCCAATCGACTAACAACCGGATTCCTACTTACAGCTAGGTAAACAGAGGCATGTGAAGTAAGGAACTTGCTCAAGGTTTTGTCCCTCCCAGGAGAACCCAGATCCTCTCGCTTGCGAGGTGAGTGCTCTAACCAATACACTACAGGACTTAACATACCTCTTCAATATCCACAGGTTTACTAAAAATACTAAAACGTTTATCAGTGGCCAGTCTTTTGGTAATATCCCTGAGAAAAAGTCGGAGTTCCCGAAGGGTATTTTCCTCCTGCTCTTCCATCCGTTTCTGCTCTTCCTCTGACAGTTGTTTTGGTGTAGGAGGTTGTGCTGGTTGAAGGACTTCCAAGGCTACAAAAGCTGAAAAAAGTGTTCCGATTTAAACAGAGACAACAACAACTTGCACTTATATAGCGCCCTCCACGCAGGATAGTGTTTCAGAGCGCTTAACAGTGGCGGAGCCTGACTCCGAGCTGGTGGGGTGCGAGGAGGTGGCCGTAAGCTCGATTGAAAAGGAAGGTTTTCAGGTGGGACTAGATGTAGTAATGCCGAATATAATTTTTCCAATTAAAAATTCACTAAATGAAAGTTGTATACCTCTAGATTTCTATCTGTAGTGCTTTCCAAAATTTAACTTCAAAAAGGATTTCAATTTTGAAAATGCACTGTTTGGGTCAATCTGTGAATCTTTTGAGCAGTGACTTAATGAACCTGATACAACAATACCACAGTTTGTTTTTCAAAAAAACACAACCAGAGAATTAACAAAAGTATATGAAAAGGGCTCATTCTCCGATAAGCTACCGCAAGCATCAAAACCTTCCCCAAACTGAACATTTGTCTCAGAAAAGATTGCACAAAGATAGTGGGGACCATTGTTTTCAACCTAAAATTTGCCAATTTGTATCCAGAACAATACACTTCTATGGTGGGGAGGAGAATGGATAATGATTAACCACAGAAACTCTGGATAATTATTCACCTCCCCAATGCAGTGATTTTAGACATTTCCAAGTGATGAATTTCACCAAAGAAATCTGAAAGTATGAGGCAGTCTCGTCTGTGACTAGGCTGAATTATGCATATTCGGTTATTCAAAGCAATTTAATTTGAAATTAAACATCAGTCTGAATCACGGATTTTAAATCTTAATATCAGTATTTCTCTCAATCTTCACTCCTTACCAGCTTTTTTCTTCCTTGGTGGTGGTTTTGCTGCTTGGTTCAGTATTAAATCTTCAAAAAACCTTGTTCTTTCATCTTCACCAGGTCTTTGCAGAACTATAATTTCCCCATAATCAACTGCAAAAATGCATTTAATCTGAAGAAAATAACACAAGCAATAAATCTTCTTACAAAATGCATAGATTGAAGATTACCAGAAGTTAGCAAAGGAAGTTGTAGACGAGCACTGGATAGTAAAGGAACAACTGCATTACAAGCAGAAAATAATCCTTGCATAGCGCCTTTCATATTGGGATGATGTCCCAAAGAGCCTCATAGGATTTTACTGTGGAATGACTGTGGGCAAATGCAGCAGCCAATTTACACACAATAATGTCCCACAAACAGCCATGAGGGGAATGACCAGTTTTTTTATTTAAGGGATTGTTGGCCAGGATACAGGGAGAAATTCCCTTCTCTTTTCAAAAAGTTCCATGTGATCTTTACCATCCAGCTGAACAGGCAGACAGGACCTTGGTTTAACGTCTCATCTGAAGGACAGCACCTCTGACAATGCAACACACCCTCAGCATTGTATTAAAGTGTCAATTTAGACTATGTGAACCCAAGTTCCGACATGTGGCTTGAACAATCTTCCGACTTAGAGGCAAGAGCGCTATCACTAAGCCAGGCTGACACACAATTAGAAACGCAATTAGTAAGAGCACAGCAAAATGAAATAAAATATCAACAAAACACACAAGGCTACTTGGTTAATTAACACTGAATGAAATGCATCACTATTTGACATGAATTCATGCACAATTATTCTACATCAGTTAATACATGCAACACCAATTGCAAATTCAACAGAAGCATAAATGTATTTTAAAATCAATCTTATTTATAGATGAATATCACAAAAAAACTTGTTGTAGACCGATGCAAATTAATGTAGCATTTATACTATTGGCAACAATGTGATCATGTCTCCACTAAGAATGCACTGTAAAGCAGCAAGCCCAATTTACTTTTACTCCCATTGGAGATATTTAAAAACACTGAATTTTGAAAAATATGCTATAAAAAAATCTTTACTTTTTACATTTACAATTGAGTTTTATTTTTTATTTTCATTTCTTGAAACCAAATATCCAGTAATTTCAGCACCTACAGTGCTTAATTATTCAACAATGGGCTCTGTTCCCAGTCTTATGTGGACATTTATATTATAATCACAACTGAAACTCAGTCAGTCAGCCACCACGCATGGTTTGGTAAATTGGCCAGACCAGTAACCGCAGCCACCATTGATTTTTATTGTGATCTTTAGTGCTCTTTTCGGTTTACAACAACAATTTGATTTACATAGTGTCCGCCACATGCATAGTGTCTCGGAGCACATAACAGTGGTTTGTTTTGAGGTTAAGCTTTAAAGAGTCGGGAGGTGATTGAAGGCATGGCTGAAGAGGTAAGTGTTCAGGTGTGATTTGAAGACGAACGAAGAGGGGTTAAGATGGAGGAATTAAGGCCAAGAGTTCCAGATTCGGGGCATAGTGGCTGAAAGCACAGTCAATGGTGAAGCAGCGGGGACAAAGGATGTGCAGAAGACCCAAGCCAGTTGAGCAAAGGCAGCAAGTAGTGGAATGAGTGTGAGGAGATCGGAAATAGGAAGGCGCCAGGGCATGAAGAGATTTGAAAGCGAGAATGAGGATCTTGAAATCGATCCATTCTGCCACAGGGAGCCAGTGGAGTCTGGAAAGAACTGGGTGATGGGGGTACGGAGCCGGGTACAGGGATCAATGTTGAATAATTAGAGCTGGTTAACAGTGGAGCTGGGGAGACCGGCAAAGAGTGCATTGGAAAAAAAATCAAACCGAAAGTGGCGAAAGCATGAATGAGAGGGCCTTGAGAAGGGCATGGGATGAAAGTGAAGTTGGATGGCAACAATGTGTTCCAGGACTTCAGAAAGGAAGGCCAGGTTTGAGGTGGACTGGAAGTTAGCAAAGTCTGATGGATCAAGTTGGGTTTTTTGAGGACAGGGGTGAAGACAATGTTTTTTGAAGGGGAGAGGAATAGCTTCAGAGGACAGGGACAGGTTGCCGCTGTCCACCAGGAGGGGTGAGAGAAGTGTTTGTTGGATAGTCAGCAGCTGGGTGTTGAGGAGGTTGAGGGAGAAGGTGGTAGGTTTCATCTGATTGATAAGGGCTTTGAGGGATGAGGTAGAAATGGGAGTAAAAATGTGTAACTAGGGGAGTAGTGTTTGGAGCAATAGAAGTGGAAACAAGAGTTAGCATTAATAAATTTAGCTTTGATAAAAGTCATAATCTACCTCATCTGGCAGCTCGGCATATGCCGTTTCAGAGGTAGCCATTATTAAAATGGGGGAAAAGGATGGTATATCCTGAAGCAATGTCATGAAAGTAGCTTTTACTGTTTCGCTGACTGCATCCCACCACTCTCGAATGTGAGGCATGTAAATTATGCTCGGTACTGTTCGACGTGCCTCACGGAAAACCTACAAAGGAAAGAATTTTTACATTTTAATTATTTAATTTAAGAACAAGTGTATGTTGAAATAAAATGCAACAATCCTGAAGTTTTTCATCAAGTCTCACGTTAAAAATATATACACATCTGCTACAAACAGTAATAATATATCTGTGGATGCGTATTGCCTATTAGTATACTGATTTTGTTCAAATTATATATTTAGAAAGTTCATCTTACTACAGCAATCTTATTAATATATAATAACGTGAGTCATTTGAGGTCAAATACCCAAACTGAAGCAAATATGCAAAAGTAAATCGCACAAATCTGTAATTGTTGAAAATGTTATGCTCTGCAAATAAAATCCTATTTTGTCATAAATAATACATCTCAGCAAACGCTATTTTGAAAATTCCATAAAGGGAACTCAAAACACCACTTACATTCTGTTAAAATATTAAAGTTGAGAAACTGTAACAGGAAACAAAAGGCAAAATACTGCATATGCTGGAAATCTGAAATAAAAACAAAGTCACTGGGAACACTCAACAGGTCAGGCAGCATCTATGGAGAGAGGAAAGTGAGTTAACATTTCAGGTCGATGACCTTTCGTCAGAACTCAACCTGAAATGTTATCTCACTTTCCTCTCTCCATAGATGCTGCCTGACCTGCTGAGTGTTCCCAGCAATTTCTGTTTTTATTATTATTATTATAAACTGTCATACCATAAAGGAATCTCATTCCATCTGTCCAAAAGTGAAGCCAAGAAATGCCTCAAAAGGGGACAAAAATTTGGTGACTGACAATTTGGTGAAATCTTAGCATATTGATGTACCAAGTCAGATTCTCAGGCTGTACAGCCAAGGAGCAAACATCATGTGAGCATACATGAAGCAACCATCACCAAAATGAGAGGGTACAAAAAAGGTTGAGGTTTCCATCCCATCAAATAAACAATGCTGCTAAGCATTAAAATTTGGTCAAAAACATCCCAAGTGGCAGAGGGAAATGTCAAGTGAAGCACTGCAAAGAGGTTAAGTAATTTTTCTTGCTGAGCAGTATAAAAACATTCCCTTTTCTGAGTGGTGTCAATTCAGATTGAAAAAATGCATAGTATATCATGTCCTCAACAAAGCAGCTGTCAGAATAAGAATTCATAACTTTTGATTCCTATTTGGGCTCAATTCTAACAGGATCACTGATCCATCCTGGCAGAAAAAAATCAGGAACTTCATTTGTGGGAAATCACAGATGCAATCTGAATCCCATCACTTCATGGGGCACACTGTGTCGCTATATTCCAAAGAATGGGCCAAAGTTATTTAACAATGCATGTAAAATACATTTCCAAATATCGATACGAAAAAACGATCCAATACATAATCACATTCCTAAGCTGTTTGTTGAAGATAGCTAAGAATGCGTGTGTGTGGTGTGTGTGTACGTACTTTTGCATGCATGTGGGCTGGGGAAGAGGAGATTAGAATGTTCATCCTACTGCAAACAATTTTGGGGGGGAAACGAATGACCAATTAGCTTTTCCCCCTTTCTCACCTCACCTGTGCACACGACTCCTCTGGAGTTTTGGCACTGACGGAGTACAATGCTGGCAGATCTAACCTATGAACAGAGAACCTCTCCAATGAATGCAACAAAGCAGGAGCAAGCTGTGAACTCTGACCACATCCTTTGTCTCCACAGAGAAGCAACCGAGGTCGATGGGATGTTGGCTGGTGATGCGCTGACCTGTAGAAAAGAAGTTTTCAAGTCTTAATTTACTCAATTTTAAACTTTGGAATATATGCTTATATTTAGATTAGCAACTAATTAATGATTGATCAAGCAGTACTGTGAACTCGCTCTTATTTGCACAACTCCATCATCACAACAATGAACAGATAAAAGGTGAGAAATTTTCACGCTTTGGTTATCTAGGCTGACTACAATGAGGTGCCAGCTTTCAGTTCAGATATTAAGCTAAGATAATTCCTTCAAAAATAATAATAAATTGGCCACTCAATCCACAACTGTTTGTGGGACATTGCTGTGCACAATTGGCTGCTGCGTTTCGCCCACAAAATATACAGTCAATTCATTTTACAGTTTATTCTGTGAAGCGCTTTGAGACATCTCGAGGATATGATAAGGCACTATATCAAATGCAAGAGTTGGATTCGGGACGGGGCAGAGTGGGAAGATGACCAAAAGCACGCTCAAAAAGGAAAATCTTAAGAACAGCCTTGAAGGAAGTGAGGGAAGTGCAAGGCAAAAGGACTCTGGGATAGAGTTCCAAAATATGTTCAGGTTAAGATCCCATGGCACGATTCAAAAAATTACAGATTCCTTCTGTTATCCTGGCCAACAATCTCCCAGATAAATAAAATGTCATTCACTTCACGGCTATTCATGGGACAAGCTGGCAGAGACATTTAACTAAAAAATACAGTCACTACATTTTACAGAAAACTATGAAGCGCTCCATGTTTTGACTCAAGAACAACAACAACAAAATTACATTTGTATAACGCCTTTCAGGTTGGGAGGACTTCCCAAGACGCTGGACAGTCAGAATTTCAGATCCGAGCTGGGGATTGGGATTGGGGAGGGCGGAGGGCAGGGGAGGGAAGCAGGGTGATCGAAAGCATGGTCGAAGAGTATTGAGATGGGTCTTGAAGGAGGCAAGAGAGGGGACGAGGCGGAGGGACTGCAGGATGGAGTTCCAGAGGATGGGGGCCGAGTGGCAGAAGGCCAGCCTGCTGATGGAGTGGCGGGCGAGGCAGGGGATGTGAAGAAGGCCGGAGCCCGTTGAGCGGAGGGAGCCGGCAGGATGGTAGCGGGTTAGGAGGTCACAGAGCTAGGGGGGAGCAAGACCTGAAGGGCTTTGAAGGTGAGAACGAGGATGTTGAACTGTATCCTCTGTGTGATGGGAAACTAGTGGAGTTGGGCGAGGATGGGGGTGATAGGGTCACGAAGCCTGGTGTGGGAGAGGACACGGTCTGCAGAGTTCTGGATGATCTGCAGCCTATGGAGGGAGGAGTTACAAGCAAGGAGTTTGCATAGTCAAGCCTCGATCCAATGGATACATGTATGAGGGTTTCGGCAGCCTGCGGTGTGAGACAGTGGCAGAGCCGGGCGATGTTACGGAGGTGGGGGAAGGCAGAGCGGGTTATGGCATGGATGTGGGGTAGAAAGGATAGTTGAGGGCCAAACAAGATGCCAAGGTTCTGGACTGGCTTAGCAAGGTGGAGTGTGCATCCATGGATGGTGATGCTGTCAGCATCTGAGGTGAGAAGGCGCTGACGGGAGCCAATCAGGAGAGCCTCGGTCTTATCGATGTTCACCTGAAGAAAATTAGCTCTCATCCGGAACTTGATGTCTGACAGACATTCTGTCAGGACAGCAGTGGATCTGGAGTCAAGGGTGGAGCAGAGAGGTAGTGTTGGGTGTCACGCCCATACATGTGGAAGTTGACCCCATGTCTGCAGATGACGTCACTAAGACGGAGCATATCGATATTGAAGAGGAGGGGACCAAGGACAGAGCCCTGAGGAACCCCGCACAAGACGGTGCGGGGGCTAGAGGAGAAACCGTTTGTGGAGATGAAGTGAAGGCACGGCAAGAAACTGCAATTTCAAATCTTTCACTAATCCAAGGATGTTCATGTCTCCCTGCATCACTATCCCAAGTCAGTAACTAAGATGTTAAGATACAGAGGACTAATGTTGGGGGAAAGTGCCAACCCAAAAACTTTAATAAAAATATAAAATCATTAGCCCTCCCTACACCATGAGTATTAAACAGCTTCTCTTGGACTCACTACTGGGAAGAAACATCTAACACCCAAGCAGTTATTAAAACAATTGTAACCACTCATTTTATCTAAATAAGTTTCCTTGGAATATTTTCAGTGTGAAATATACACTGAAACTGCAAAACTTAAACCTTCCACACGATGGCAACCTAGTACCGAGAAAGTTTTAAAAACAATCACAAGTACACAAGTACAGATATATTTGATCTGATCCTTCCAGACAATTGTCATCTTTCTCAGTGCATAACACTATTGCCTCTGGACCAGAAGGTCGTGGGTGGAAGCCCCACGTCAGGGCTTCAAGCTCACAGCCGAGGCGGAGATTCCAGTGTATTCTGGGGAAATGCTGCATTGTCAGAGCTGCTAATCTTCAGGTGAGTTTCCCCCAGTGTTGTAGCTAACATTATTATTCCAGAAAGCCTAACCCAGCATCAACCCATCAACCCATTGTAGTATCAAATCTTTTCTTAAATGAGTCTTGTGTGCTAGCTTAACCACCTTTCCTGATAAACCTTTCCATCCATTAAAAAGGCCATTCAAAAACTGACAAGTCTCAATAGATATTAATTCTGAACAGTTCAATCTTTACACAATTGGGTTAGTGCTACAAAAGTATTTCTAGAAATATGACCTAATAACCAAATAGTGTTGACTGAATACAGGGGGAGACTCATTGTAAAGCATTGGTTGGGATCGATAAACTCTGAAAAGCGAGGCCAGACAGCTGGACCACGAGCTCCCTGCACTAAAAGAAAAAATATACGCTTCCAGGTCATCAGGCTGCTGCTGGTGTCGCTTCCTGCTTTGCACACGCGCAACAAACCGGAAGTGACGTCAGCCACAACCTAATCCCCCTAATATTGGCTATTTTAGTACATAAGTCAGGGCCAGCTACGCCATGTTTAGTGAACGGGGTGAACATCGCAAATGCATTATCAACAAATTCACAATATAAAGAACGTGTTATAACTGTGTCCAACTCTTGTACTATGTCCGAATCACAACAGAATTGCAATACCATACAAAATTACATTCGTAAAGCACTTTTCACGTCGGGAAGACGTCCCAAGGTGCTGAACAGTCAGGAATTAAGACACAAGCGGGAGGGTGGGGATAGGAGGGTGGCCGAAGTTACGGCCGAAGAAGAGTGTCTTGAGGTGTGCCTTGTAGGAAGGAGGCAAGGGAGGGACCGAGGCGAAGAGAATGTGGGATGGAATTCCAGAGGATGGGGGCAGAGAAACTGAAGCCCTGACCATCGATGGTGGGGCGGGCCGGGCGAGGGACATGGAGAAGGCCAGAGCCTGCTAAACAGAGGGAGCAGACAGGTTGATAAGGGGTTAGCAGATCGGAGAGGGCAAAGAGAGGGTCTTTAAGATGAAGATGAGAATTTAGAACTTGATCCTCTGAGGGATGGAGAGCCAGTGGAACCGGGCGAGGGTGGGTATGATGGGGTCACAGATCTGGTGCAGGAGAGGACACGATCTGCAGAGTTCTGGATGATTTGCAGCTTATGGAGGGAAGAGTTGGGAAGGCCAACAAGCAGGGCATTGGCATAGTCGAGCCTGGTTGTAATGTATGAGGGTTTTAGTGCTCTGAGGTTGAGGCAGTGGCGGAGTCGGGCAGCGTTGCAGAGGTGGGGGATGTCAGAACGGGTCATGGCATGGATGTAGGGGAGAAAGCACAGTTGAGGGCTGAACAAGCAACCTAGGTGCCTGACTGACTTGGTGAGGTGGAGTGTGCATCCGTGGATGCTGGTGTTGTCAGTGCCTGAGGTGCGGAGGCGCTGGCACGAATCAGGAGAGCCTCGGTTTTGCTGACATTCAACTGTAGAAAGTTGGCTCTCATCCAAGCAGTCTGTCACGACATCTGTGGTTCTGGGGTCGAGAGTGGAGGTAGAGAGAGTTGGGTGTCATCCGAGTACATCCGAGTACATGAGTACATGGAAGTTGACCCCATGTCTGTGGATAATGTCACCAGGAGGGAGTATGTACAGATTGAAGAGAAGACCGAGGACAGAGCCCTGAGGAACACCGCATGAGAAGGTGCGGGAGCTGGAGGAAAAGCCGTTTGTGGAGACAAAGTAGAGCCCGTGTGAGAGATAGGATCTGAACCAATCAAGGACAGAACCTTGAAGGGTAAGGTAAGAGGGGAGGTGGTGGAGGAGGATAGAGTCCTTTCAAGGACCTTGGAAAAGATAGGAGGGTTGGAGATGGAGGCGGTATTTAATGAGCAGGGATGGGTCCAGGGAAGATTTTTTTAAGATAGGGATGATGACAGCTGTTTTTAGGAGAGTGGTATCTATGCCAGTTGACAGGGAGAGGTTGACGTGGTCTGAGAGTAAAGACACAAGGAGGTAGAGCTGGAGGGTAAGGAGTGTGAGGGACAGATGGGGAGGGGGTGGCAGTTGGGAGGGCGGAGGCAGCTGAATGGATCACTTTGATTTTGGTCTCGAGGAAATCCAGCATCTCCTCGTAGTTGGAATTGGAGGAGAGAATGGGCGAGGCGTGAGAAGGTGGACGGAGGAGCCGATTGGTAGTGGAGAAGAGAAGCCTGGGGTGTCCTTGACCTCCAAGATTACCTGTACAATAATGGAGTACGAAGAATATGTGGATTGTTTGTGGATTCCCATGTGCTGGTGTGAAGCTGACAGATTCTCACTAACAGACAAGTGGTCCAGGAGAAATTTCACTAAAAATCTTATGAGTACAAATAGAACTCTTCACTAGCACCTTACCACATTACAAAGTACTTTCTAATAATTACTGTTAATCTAGGACAAAAAGCTTCCTCCAAAATATTTGACCTGTCTCTTATCATTCTTTTCTTTTTGCTTAATTCAGAAAGTAGTAATTGGCTTAGCACCAAAACATTATAAAACTTTGTCAGCTCACTCACCAATTCAACACACTGCAAAACTTCAAAAAGTTAGTTCATTCGGCTTGTCAAGCAGAAGAAAAGCTTGGCTTTTATGGCACCTTACCACATCAAACTGTCGCAAAGTACTTTATAATAATTATTGTTAATGTAGCACTTGGGAACAAAACAGTCATTTTTACACAGCAAAATCCCACAAACAGCCACAAGATGAGTCACCAAATGAATTAGAGGATTGTTGGCCAGGACACTGGGAAAAAAATTCTCTTCTCTTATTGAACAGTATCGAAAGATCTTTAACGTCCACCTGAACAGGCAGAAAGGATTTTTATTTAAGATCTCATTCAAAGAATGGGAACTCCAACAAAGCAGTACTTCTCCAGTACGATATACGACTATCAGCCTAGTCTATAAGCTCAAATCCCAAGATGAAGCTGAACGTCAACCCACCCACTACCTTACAATTACACTATTTTACAGTAATTTCTATGAAGCGCTTAGAGACGTCTCGGCAATTTGATAAGGCGCTATATATCAAATGGAAGGATTATCATAGAATTCTTATAAGAGCACTACCAACTATCCTGTCAACTAGTTGACTATGATTAGTAGCACATCAATATGAAATTGAGTATTTTTCCTGCCAATGGATTCAATTCAATTGTTTAATAACATTTTAGGATTTGGATAAAATATCTAAATCATTAAAATAGTTTCTGAGAGAAAGCTCCCACCACTTACAATAATAATAATCTTTGCATCTGATATAGCGCCTTATCATGATTTTGAGATGTCTCAAAGCGTTTCACAGAATATATTGTAAAGTGAATTGACTGTATATTCTGTGGCCAAAACGGTTAGCTAATTGCTCACAGCAATGTCCCACAAACAGTTATGGATTGAAGTAACCAATTAATTATTATTGTTTTTTTGAAGGAATTACTAGCCAAGGAAAAACGATCTGCCAAACGACTAACAACTGAGTTCCTACTTACTGCTAGGTAAACAGAGGCACATGGAGTGAATAAACTTGCACAATGTTTCGTCTTGGTGGGAATCGAACCCAGGTCTCTCGCATATTAGGCGATTTCTCTAACCACTGAGCTACAGGACCCCACATATATTTAAAGAAAATAAACGCAGCATATAGGAGGCAGTTAATTATTTTATAAGCCAACAAAAGTCTTTATTTCAAATCACACAATAGCCAAATATCATTGTTGGAAAAAACAATTCATGTTCCCATCCAGGGATCTCTGCAAGTGAGTGCATGAGTTTAGGGAGGGCAGAAACAGTTCAACTGGGGTTGATTCGCTCATTGACATCATTGTGGCTCACACATGAATAACAGGCACTGGAAAAAGTAATAGAGGGCAAACAGACTACATGGCATCAAACTCCACCGGAAGGAAAGAGGTGCTTACATTGTAGGAGTGAAAAATATAAGAGGAAAAAATTGACAAGGAGAATATTTTGTTTTAAATGCAACAATCGTTCAATCAATAATCCATCAAAATAATCTTTGATACACTAATAAGCAGTTACTCACATAGAGAAATGTAGAAAGGGTTTACGCTTAGGAGCTGGTGGTTGTTTCTTTGGTGATCCTAATGAAATACTGTCAAAAATTGCGGCTTCATCCTCATCATCACTGTAGATGCAATCCTCCAGGACATTGCTCGTACCATCTGCTAAAACAACCAAGTTTAAACGTAACGGATCACAAACATTAACAAACAAACAGGATCACAAATGAACAATTAAAAGATTTTATTTTCTAAAGTGTTACTTTGAAGGATATTAATCCCCCACACAAGTTTTCAAACTGTCATTCTTTCTCATTAAACCACCAATTAAGCACATACTATACCATCACACAAAGGGACTGATGAATTTTACTTTAACACTAAAACGAATATGGGGCGATCCTTCATTTCTTCTGGAGACTAACGGGAGCTCAACTCGTGAATCGTTACAAAAGGAATCAAACTTTCAGTGAAAACCTCTTTGTATTTGCAGCTCAATCATTTTAGGCAAAAAACTAACCTCCTCTCACTGGCTGTAATTTGTGAAATTATAATAACAATCCTTGCATTTGATATAGCGCTTTTCACGTCTTCACCTCACGTCTTCCAAAATGCTTCACAGAATATACTGTAAAGTGAATTGACTGTATATTTGTGGGCGAACGCGGCAGCCAATTGCGCACAGCAATGTCCCACAAACAGTCGTAGATTGAAAATGACCAATTTATTATTGTTTTTGGTTTTGGAGGGATTATTATTAGGCTCTGTGTGGAGCAAGGAAACTTGCCCAAGGTTTCGCCCTCTGCCTGGAATTGAACTCAGGTCTCTCGCTTGCAAAGCGAGTGCTCTAACCACTAAGCTACAGGACTCCTACAAATTGTTATGAAAACTAATACAGATTGAGCACAATGTGCACTTTAAATCCTAATGTTTTGAAAAACGTCAATTTAAACAAAATTACCTAGTACAATATTTTTCAAATCCTTTCATTTGATATATCACCTATTATATCACAACATCCCACACATTACAGTTATTATTGTTAAGTGTAGAAATATGCATTTGTGGGAAAACATGAGTCAATTTACAAACAAGCAATGTCCCACAAGCATGCAAGACATGAATGACTTTTTTGCTGGAGGACTGTTTTAGCTCTGAGCACCCAGTTAGTAAGTAACATTGATACGTTTTGCATCAAGACTAATTAAACTTTTCTATTCAGAGAGTAATAGAATTTCATGCTGAATGATTTCACAACTTAATGTTTTCTTAAAAAGGTTATAGTGACAAAGTGCTCAAACAAGGGTAGCAAAAGGAAAATGCTATCTGCAAACAAAGGTAGCAAATGAAAATGCATTGCTATATCTTGTAAACAACTCATTGATGTCACAATTTTATTTTACTTTTCAGCGTATTCCTTTTCAATGAAAAGACAAGTTTCGATTGTTTTGAAAAAGTACATTTTACATGCCTGTTTCAACAAATATAGAGCTTACTTGGAAATAAATTTGAATTATAAAATTGGAGGACTTCATTGACTGCTCTATTTTGTAATTGTTTTCCGGTTAATAGATATAAGCACCCCTAGTCATAAATATTAATTTACTATTGTATTTATTGGAACATTCTCTGTACCTGAAACCATGGCTTTATAAATTGAAATGGCTAACTGCGCCTAGCTAACTTGCCCACAAACTTACATTCATTCACAAAAGCACACAGTCACCATCACTTTACAATATATGCTGTTAAGTGATTTCACACCTTGACAATGTGATAAGGTAGTATATCAAATGCAAGGATTATTATTATTGCCAGATGGAACCAGATCAGAATGAGACATTAGAACAAAAGTTATAAGCAAGGATTGGCAAGTTGTGGTTCTTCAGCCTAGGTAAAAAAAGATGTCGGAAGAGGGGATCTTGTAACGGTACATCAAATATTAAATGGGAATAAGTAGATAAACCCAGAACAATAGTATAAGATATGTCAAAACAGCAGCAAAGGGGGCTATTTCAGAATCAACTGAAATTAGTATTGGTTACCCGGAAGGGTGTTTGAAGTCAGGACTCTAGATTTAAGAAAAACATTGACTTTTTAGTGGGAGGCTGATAGGGTAGATATTTTGAAAGATTGAGATCAAATGGATCAAGGCCCTTCTTCATCTCAAACTCTTTTGTGATCAATGGAAAAGCTATTCATATGTCAAAGTGACATCTCAACGGCTGCCACAAAAACGAATACTGGGGATGTGAAATGAAAATAGTAAATACTTCTAAAAGACAGATAAATGCTTTGGGAATGACAAGACATTAGCATTTGATGCAATGCTTATTGAAGAGTAAATCAGATGTTGATTTCAAGAGAAATGTTAATTTGAAAACAAGAAAGCCTGAAAATATACCCAAGATTACAATGGATCACATTAAAGTGCATTCTCAGCATTCTCTTGGAGAGGGGAAATAAAAGATTAGCTTATTGCGGCTCAGTGAGCACTCGCCTCGCAAGCGAGAGACCTGGCTTTGATTCCCAGCAGGGCGAAATACTGGACAAGTTTCCTTTTTCCACACGTCTCTGTTTATCTAGCAGTAAGTAGGAACCTGGTTGTCAGTCGATTGGTGGATTGCTTTTCCGGGAGTAATAATTCTTCCAAAAAAAATTGGTCACTTCAATCCACAGCTCTTTTGTAGGACTGTGCGTAATTGGCTCCTGCGTTTCAGCCACAAAATACAGTCACTACACTTTCCAGTATATTCTGTGAAGCACTTTGAGACATCTCAAAGACGTGATAAGGCGCTATACCAAATGCAAGGATTATTATTATAACTTCAAAAGCTTACATGAAAAGGTATTGTTTACCATAAAAAGTTATAATCAACAGAAGAAATCCTTACCAATGATTAAATCATTAAAAATAGATTATAATGGAAACATATTTTAAAATAACAGTATATCACATAATAAAACGTAGTGAATCTCCTCAGTGAATTATAACCCAATAATCCAATTGAGATATACTGACACAGCAAACTCCACAAATAATAATCCTTATGTAGTTGAAAAATATCACTAAATATCACTAAAGTTTAGACTGTGGCTCCAATTCTGCATGTGATGTTTATATTCTGCATGTCTTGTTTAGTGTGTTGTTTCCAAATAGTGAATTTTTTTCTAACTTTCTAAACTGATGTTCCTATGTTCGTGCTATCGTTTAGCAATTTCTTTGCCTGATGTTGATTTTTCTCAACATCATTTAAAGATGAAATACCATTGTACAATGTAGGAAATGTGAGATGACCTGCCTTGTATTCTTCAAATGAAACACCATCCAGATACCACCAGAAGCAAGCTCAGGTAGAATTTGTGTTATGAAGAAACAATACATTTTGCAATGTGAAGATAATTTAGTTCCTCACATATCAAGAAGCATTTTTCCACCTAGGTTACGAAAATTCACTATCTCGTTCAGTCTAAATCATTATCATTGGTTATAGTTTTGTGACTTTTGAACAAAGAATGGAAATTAGTACAATAATTTACTCTCAAACTATACACTACTTAACCACTTCACTGTTACTACAGCAGCTTTAGAACACACAATCTGAATACAGACCATCTTTGTTCTCGTTCGTTGTCTGCTCAGCATGGGGAAAAATCTTGTACAAAGCAATTAAGATTTCATTGAAGACATTTTCCAGCAGAGGCTTAATGATGTGGGAGAGTGCTTGTCCCGGAGAGCAAACAGCACGTTGTGAAGCAGGCACAATGTTCTGCATTGCAAGGTAGAAGTCCTGGGCATTTATTACAATAGACGAAACATCCAGCTGCAGCTTCTGACGAGATTCATAAATCTGAGGATAGCGCCGGCGAAGGGCAAACAAGGCTGCCTCAGTGCAAAGTGCTTTAATGTCAGCACCACAGTACCCTAGGAAGAAATTGTAAAACAGTGAAAATCTAAAGCCTTTCATTTGTTGCTTAATTGCAATACAATTGCTGTGATATTATAGCAAACATTATTCGGAAAGCATGAATTAAACCTTTCTTTCTCAAACAAACAGTTTTCAAATAAGTCAAGACACTTTCTCAGAATGGCAAAAAAGGATCCATTGGGTTTATTTGGTTATTATTGGACCAACGATCGACTCAAGTGTGGAAACTAAAGTAAAAAGGTAACAGTAACATTTATGTAAAATTCAATATATCCATCAATCTCTGTTCCAGAATACTACTTCCATGATACATTTACTATTTATTTCTAAATCACAGTAATAAAACTTAATTTAAATGTCTTTCATTTGGAAATGCATTAAGATTAAACGTAATGTTCATCCCCATTTTATGTCTTTTTTTAAAAACATGATCATATGCCAGTCTGGCTCGGTGGATAACTCTTGACTCACAGTCAGAAGTTTGTGGGTTCAAGCCCCACATCGGGAACTGGAACTTGTAAAATCTAAGGTGATTTTCCGATGCAGTACAAGTTGTTCCACAATTGTTGGGAGGTGCCGTTCTTCAGATGAGATGTTAAACCAAGGTCCCATCTGTCTATTTAGGTGGATGTTAAACATTCCATTGCACGATTTGAAAAGAAAAGGGTGTTTCTCCTGCTGGTCTGGCCAACAATCCCCCAAATAAAATTGGTCAATCTCTTTAATGGTTTGTGAATCAGTATATCCTACAAAGTGCTTTGGGAAGTCATAGAATCATACAACAAAGAAGGAACCCATTTAGCCCATCGTGTCTGTGCCCGCTCTTTGAAAAGAGCTATCCAAATCAATCACATCCCCCGCGCTCTCCCCATAGCCCTGCAAACTTGTCCACGTCAAATAATTACCTACTTCTCTCTTAAACTTTGTTATTGGATCGGCTTCCACCACCCTTTCAGACAATACATTCCAGATCCGAACAACTCGCTGTGTGAAAAAATGTTTCCTTACCTCTCCTCTCTTTCTTTTAACAACTGTTTTAAAGCGCTTTCGTCGGGTTACCAATCCACCCACCAGTGGAAATAGTTTCTCCTTGTTCACCCTGATGAATTCCCCTCATAAACTTAATAGAAAACTTCTATTAAGTCTCCTCTTAACATTGTCTGCTCCAAGGAGAATAATCCTAGCTTCTCTAGTCTCTCCTGATAACTGAAGTCTCTCATTCCTGGTACCATCCTGGTAAATTTCCTTTGCACCCTCTCCAATGCCTTGACATCCTTCCTAAAGTGTGGGGCCCAGAACTGAACACAGTCTCTAGCTGAGGTCTAACCAGTGTTTTATAAAGGTTCATCATAACTTCCTGACTTTTGTATTCTATGCCCCTATTTATAAAGCCAAGTATTCCGTATGCTTTTCTTTTTTTAAAAAACAGCTTTATCTACCTGTCCTGCCACCTTCAAAGATTTACTTACATGAACCCCCAGGTTTCTCCGTCTCTCTGTCCCTTCACATCCTTTAAGATTGTACCATCAGCTTATATTGCCTCCCCTCATTCTTCCTCCCAAAATGCATCACTTCACATTTCTCCACATTAAACTTCATCTGCCACGTGTCGGCCCATTTTACCAGTCTGTCTATGTCCATTTGCAGTGCTACTATCCTCCTCATTGTTTACTACTTTTTCTAGCTTAGTATCATTTGCAAACTGGGAAATTGTACTCGCTATACCCAAGTCCAGGTCATTTATATAGAACAAAACAGCAGTGGTCCCAATACCGACCGCTGGAGGACACCACTGCACAATTCCCTCCATTCAGAAAAACAACCGTTCACCACCACTCTCGGCTTTCTGTCTCCCAGCCAGTTCTGTATCCATGCTACAGTCCTCTCAACATGAAAAATGCTATACCAAATGTATGGATGATTATTATTATGTATTTTTAAGTATTTTACAAAATACAGGCATTATTTTAAGTACTATTCATTCAGTATCTTATTTTTATGCAGAGAAAAAGTTGAACGTTTCAGAATAATTCTGACTCTGGCTCCAAAAGTAGGATCTTCTTAATCTCACATCAACATCATAAATAGCATTATTTACCAGTATATATGAAAGTGAACATTGGTGATCATCTAGTTAAGTAATGACTTTTTAAGGAAGATGATAATGGCTTAATATTGCAAATTCTCATTGCTAATGCTGCACGCAGAGTACCGCAGGGTTTAATTGATTTCTACATTTCATTGGCTTTAATACACAGATTTCAGTATTACTATATTTTGGAGATGTTAGGACAGAAAAACAGAAAAATGTCTGAAGTTTGGTAAGCGGGTGATGCAGTGGGTTAACACACAGTCCTTTCATTTGTGGATGATGCAGAATGAAATGGGCTTGGTCAGTCTCAACCCAATTCCTGTCAAGCACAAGTCTAACACACAAGAACTCTGTCAGTATTTTTGTGGGTTAAATATCCTCCTCCCACGCTGTAATTTATATGACTCCAAGATCAACTAAAAGGCTATATAGACTACAAATGAACCAACCTTGGTCGCATTGATACATAAGATACATCAGTGAATCTGTGTGAAACTGCAATCCTTTGTGAATAAGTGGTTTGAAAAAAAACTGCAAGAAAGGTGATGGATTGAAAAATGAGAGCCTTAAAATAATAGTAATAATCAATAATTAAAATCAACTGCAATTCAAACATTTCCTGACATGGGAGAAACACCTTATGTACAGAGTAGTGCAGACATTGAGTCAGCTGTCCCACGCAAGGTGCAAGTTCTTAAAAAGGAAACAATTCCTCTTTCCAAGGCAGCAGTCTGATTAAATGAACCTAACCCTCTGTGTTATACTGGGGTCAGACTATACCTTGCACTAAATCTACAGATACAGGTTATTAATGTATATGAACAGGTTGAGTCCCAGTACAGACCCCTGAAGCACCCTATTTAAAAACCTCCCTCAATTTTGTCCCAGCACCCCTAACAACTATTCTTTGCTTTTTCCCTTTAGCCAATTTTGAATCAATGTCTTTGACACCCAGTAACATCAAATGGAAGTTTGGCAGATGCTCCTTAGAGAATATTAAATGATACAGGGTGCAAAGAGCGGAGGATGAGATGGCTAATCAATTAAATATTGCGGTGCTCTGCATGCAATACTAGCAATATTTTGCAATATTAAGCCATTATCATCTTTCTTAAAAAGCCATTGCTTAGCTAGATGATCACCAATATTCACTACATATTCCTGTAGCTCAGTGGTTGGAGCACTCGCCTCGCAAGCGAGAGACCTGGGTTCGATTCTCGGCAGGGCGAAACCTTGGGCAAGTTTCCTTATTCCACCCGCCTGATAATAATCCCTCAAAAGAGAGTAAATTGGTCACATCAATCCACAACTGTTTATGAAATACTGCTGTGCACAACTGGCTGCTGCGTTTCGTCCACAAATATACAGTCAATTCACTTTACAGTATATTCTGTGAAGCGCTTTGAGACGTCTAGAAAACATGAAAAGCACTATGTCAACTGCAAGGATTATTATTTATTATTTTTATTTAATGTAGAGAAAAACACGAGTGCTGACTTAAAAGGCCAAGTGGCCTAGGTTCTATGGTGCAACATTCTATGATAATGAGCCCATGAGCGAGCTGAACATAATACAACTCTATAATCACTGAGTACATAATGACACCCGCAAATAAATGCCTACTAATAATTATCAAGGTAGAACTATTTGTACAGAACCAATAAAACATCAGATTTGTTCACTTCTTCTGGCTGCAGCAAAGCTACTAGTCAGAAGGTTAACATAATATCTATAAAATCCAATGGTAGAATTATGAAAAGCCAGTTACATTTTCAATATTAACTACAAAACTCTAGTACTCTGTGAACTAATTACTCCACTGATTGACAGTGTCAATGCTGGCTGCACAACAATGTTGCTCACTCAAAGTTGCCGAAAGGAAGGAAATAATATGGTTGCTTCCAATACTCACCAACACATTTTTCAGCTAATTCTTCAAGGAAAGGCTGCAACAATTTGGGATTCCAGTCTCTAGTATGTATCTGAAATATGTGCTTTCGTGCCTACAGGGTTCATTAAAAAAAGGCAAACAGCTTTATTTTCTTATGCATATCACAAAATAAGGTAAATTAGTTTTAAAAAATTCTTATTGATCTTTTTGATTAACTGATACTAAGTGCTACAGATTAGAAACGTGACACTGTTTGAGCAGTTGATAGAACTCTTGATCAGAAGATATGTTCAAGCCCGATGTCACATCCATGCCATGACCCACTCTGCCTTCCTTCACCTCCGCAACATCGCCTAGCTCCGCCACTGCCTCTCCCCTCAGGCCGCCATTACCCTCATCCATACATTTATTACATCCAGGTTCAACTACTACAACTCCCTGCTTATCAGCCTTCCCAACTCTTCCCTCTGCAAGCTGCAGATCGGTTCCTCTCCCGCACCAGGCTTCATGATCCTATCACCGCGCCCTTGTCCAGCTCCACTGGCTCCCCATTCCCCAGTGAAGAGTTAAAAATCCTCATCCTCGCCTTCAAAGCCCTCCGTGGCCTTGATCCTTCCTACTTCTGTGACCTACTAACACCACATCAACCTGTCTGCTCCTTACACTCAGCAATCCCCTGCCCGGTCCGCCCCACCATTGGCGGTTGGGCCTTCAGCCTCTCTGCATCAACCGTTTGGAACTCTGTCCCACAGTCCCTTCGCCTTGATCTCTCCCTTGATTCCTTCAAGGCATGTCTCAAGGCCCTCTTCTTCGAGCCGCCCTCCTATTCCTACCCTCCCTGCCCGCCACCCCTCCTGACCCCTACCCGGGTCCAAATCCCTGACTGTCCAGTGCCTTGGGACGAACTCCTGACATGAAAGGCACTATATTAATGTAAATTGCTGTTGTTATTAAGATCATAGTCTAGGCGGAAAATCCAATACAATTACTAGGGAAGCACTGAATTGTGTTGGCACTGCATTATCATAATTCCTATCAGCCTGTGAAGCTTAAAGATCCAATGACACCATTCAAAGATAGAAGGGAGTTTCTCCCAGTGTCCTAGCGAATTATCCTTCAGGTAAATTGGTTATTCATTTCAAGACTGTGGGACTTTGCTACAGTCACATTTGCCTGCAATAAAACAGTCTCTAAACAAAACAGCAATTATGCTTTGAGGTGTGTTAAGATTATAGGCACTATAATAAAAGTTTATTATTCATACAAAACTAAACAAATTAATTTATTGAGCAGAAACCTTTTGAAAACTTCACAACATACCTTTTTATCAGGCAGGTTGAAAAGAAATTCCCTATCAAAACGACCAGGTCTCCTGAGCGCAGGGTCAATGGAATCAAGTCTATTCGTAGCACCAATTATAACTATTTCCCCTCGGTTATCCAATCCATCCATCAGTGCAAGCAGCGTAGACACTATGGAACTAAGAAAAGCATAAATCCATCAATGCAACTTTCACTGCTATACTTCAAAAAAACATAAACAGGTACACACAATTACGGAAGGTTGATTTGGAAACCATGTTGAAACTGGTAGCACTCAAATACATGTACAGTATTGGGAAGAAAGTTAAGATTTTAAAGACACTTATCAATATTTTTGATTTCAATAGTTGTAAAACTTTGAATAGATTTAGATCACATCATATTTGTGGACCTTCTGATAGAGTTGTCATTGCCTAACAACCAAGATGCAGATCAGAGAAAGTTATTCATTAACTCTTAATATACTAATAAAATACTATTAATTAATAAAATGTTAATATTAGTGGTTACATTAAGCCAGCTGAATAGTTATTGAAGTGCCATTACTTTATTAGGGCAGACTGTCATGAGTCAATGAGGAGAGAATGCTGACTACATTTTGTGAAAATGTAGCTGAAGCAGTTTAAGTTACTAAGGTAGAAATTCAAGGTTTAGGCCATTGGAAGTGAAAAATGGCAAGCAAGTTGAAAAGAAGTCATAATTTTCTCATGACCACACCTTGATTCAAGGGTGGACCATTACTCAGAAATTACATTTCCACCTCCTCCCAGACTCAGCTTTATAACAGCAACAACTCACACTTACAGTGACTCTCACATCGGATCATTTCTTGAAGCACTTTACAAAGACAATGTGCATCACCAAACTGGGTGGGTGGAAGGAGTTTGAGGATGTTGACCAAATGCACAGTCAAAAACATAGGCTTTTAAGAAGGGTTCAAATGCAGAAAGAGGAAAGATACACAAGGACAAAGGGATTTGTGTTTGTGGACAGAGTAGGCAGGGAACAAGTAATGGACTCAGGTTGGAGGAGCAGGTGTTATAATAGCTTTATACATATTTTAACACTTTTACTTCCCGCTACAAACATGACATGCATTTTACTGCCTCAAAGCTCCTGTGACATCGGTTGCAGGAAAGAGCCATGTGCATCCTGAAGTGGCTTTTCAGTTAAGCGTCGTATTTTAGACTTGCCTGAGAGACAATCTGGAGGTTTTAACCTCAGAAAGTAATCTATCAGCTGAGTATGTAGCAATGCTCAACTGGGTTCTGTGTTTTTGCAGGGTCGGTCACCTCCGAAGCTCCCAGACAGATCCTAACGACCAGCCCCAATCAAACAAAGAATCTGGTGTGGGAAGTACGTGGGTCTTCCCCGCAACTGGCATCACTGGAGCAGCTGAGGAGGAAAGGAGACGCAAAACGGCAGGTCTCTGTGAGGCAGTAAAATTTCCGATAAAAATAATTTTAACATAAAAATCAAACATTTTCCAAACCTTTACCTGTACTCACCCTTATTAGGGGTAGAATTTACGGTACTCCTTACTGAACACAAACTAAAAGTAGCCATCAAATGGCTGCATACCCTCATCAATGATGTCTTCCTTTCCAGTGCCAGGCATTTTTTGAATCCGAGCTTGACAGATGTTTCTTGTATATTTTAGGCCCTACATTGTTACTTTTTTTCCTTGATGATTTACTGAGGAGCTAAAATGTGTCAGTCAACAATAATGCTGCCCTGAAGGCCGTGGACATAACTTAGCCAAAAATGATTTTGTAATCATTGAAGCAAAGGAGTGAAAATTTAAGCCCTCCTTAGCAAATCAAAGTTGGGAAGTAAATAACAAAAAATAACTAAACCCAATATAGACCCTAAAACGTACCAAATAAAAATTGCCTGCTTCACATTCAAAAAATTGACAGGTGTTTAGATCTGGATAAAGAAGAAACCACTTAGATGGAATGGTTTACATCAGCGTTACTTTATATAGAACTAAATAAGGAATTACATAATTTTTACTCCACTGTTGTTTGGTTTCTATTTTCTCTTCAGTATCCTACATTTTAAGATTTTTACTATTTTCTACCTATTTAAACAATGTTTCCATTTCTATTCTTTTGAACCTTTTTTTCTTCCAGCTGCCACCATTCATTTTGAAAGATGGGAACAACTGTAATTTTCATTGGCCCAGAACTGGCCAGAAAGACCAGATTTGTACCTGTACAAGAGCTAAAAGTTTCAATAATTGAACTTATTCAATAATTTGAACATATATAGTGACAAACAGTAAAAATATTGCCCCCACTCCCCTCCCACTGCAAACACACACTGATGGTATTCTAAGGATTATAGGTTAGCTTCCACATAAATAGTTGCAGCATAATTTAGAACATTAACCTGTGAATTTGATCTTGTCTGCTGGAACGAACAGGAGCCAAACCATCAATTTCATCAAAAAAGATTATGGAGGGTCGCATTAAATAAGCCTGCAAGAAAAATATATAGCAAATACTATCAGTTAAACCTAAGAGTAAAATTCTGAAATATTTTTCAAAATAATAAAAATGTAAACACAACCATTCTTTTTCTCTACCTGATCAAATAGAAGCCTGAGTTGCCGTTCAGACTCCCCTACCCATTTGCTAAGACAATCTGCACCTTTTCGCATGAAGAAAGAAACTTTTTTGTCCCCTTGACCACATTCGTTAGCTAGAGCTCTAGCTACCAAGGTTTTGCCAGTTCCAGGAGGTCCGTAGAACAAACAGCCCCTGTAATGTTATCCAAAAAACACAGAAGTTTCAAGTATTTGTAAGTGCACATCAGCATTTTAATATATCTGAACTGGATGGTGATGACAGAGATCACGCTCCTGGGGAAAATACTCGGTCACAGTTCACAGATTTATTTTTGTTGAAAAGGCTTTATATTAAAAAATATAGTAAATTAAATATTATTGCTTTTAGAAGGTAATTTATTACGGCCCTAATGCGAATAAATGTTTTGTGATTTCACAAACTCCAATTTTAAAATATTTCCACTTAACACCTAACACTTTTTGCCTCTGGCACCCAAAGTTGGTGGATTATTCAAAACATTTCACACCGAGTAACACAAATATCTGTAGCAAAAATACTTACTTTTGACATATTTTACCTAAACTCATTATTTTAAATACTCTGATGAGGGCTTTCCAGACTGTGAAGCTTGAGTCTTTTAATCAGTAAAGTTCTACCCTTTGCACTTGGGATCAGTCTTACTGTTATTTTTTTTCTTCCTGTTACTTCCTGTAGTTTGTCTAATGTAAGAATAGATTTGCATTGTGGCAGCCAAAATTGCTCAGTGTTCTCGATATGATCCGATACGCCCAATGGAAAATTTTCACACAGAAATTAGGTTTAAATTTTTTTTTCTAGTTATTGAGGTGTCAAATTGTTACACATAAATGTTAAAACAAACTACCAGAAACCAAACCTTCTGAAGAAAATCATCACTATATTGCGGTTAGGTTACAATAATAACAAAATTACATTTATAGAACGCCTTTCACGTCGGGAGGACTTCCCAAAGCGCTGAACAGTCAGATGTCAGGGCCCGAGCATGGGGGAGGGGTGGTGCAGGGGTGAGGGAAGGCAGAGAGATGGGAGAGAGACCAAAGGCACAGTTGAAGAGAAAGGTCTTGGGAGCAGTCTTGAAGGATGCGAGGGAGGAAGCGAGGCGAAGGGACTGTGGGATGGAGTTCCAGTGTGTGAGGGCAGAGAGGCTGAAAGCCTGGCCACCGATGGCAGGGCAGGTCGGGCGGGAGACATGGAGCAGGCCTGAGCCCGATGAACGGAGAAAGCGGGCAGGCTCGCAGGTAGTCAGCAGGTCAGAGAGGTAGGAGGGGGCAAGGCCATGGATGGCCTTAAAGGTGAGGACGAGGATCTTGAACTCGAATAATCCTTGCATTTTGATACAGCGGCTTATCACATCTTCGAGACATCTCAAAGAGCTTCACAAAATATACTGTAAGGTGAATTGACTGTATTTTGTGGGCGAAACATGGTAGCCAATTGCACACAACAGTGCCCTACAAACAGTTGTGGATTGAGTGACCAAATTATTATTATTTAATCATTTATTTTTTTGGAAGGATTGGAATAATCAAAGAATTATCCCATTTCTAGCTATCAAGATACTTAAATTAAATTAAATATTGCTTAGTTCACAAAAGGTTGTTAAGTAAATTACATTTTTATTCTAGATTATCTAACCAAGTTTTAACCTTAATGCTTACTCGTTTATGATTTTTTTGTCAGAATTAATCAAAATAGATATTTTATGTCAATTGACACTGTCAGCAATTAATATCCAACAACGTGATGCACACAGTTAATGGTTAATTTCTAACATCTGAATATTTTAATATGACTGCTGAATTTTAAAATGTATACAATAATCCATATACACACATACAACATTATATATATGGACATGTATACATATTATTTGTATAATACACATGTATATACAAAGTCCACAATCAAATAACACATTCTTGTAATATTCAGGTGCAATCTCAACCAAACCCTTATGCATTTGAAAAATAATCCAATAATTTTGGTTGCTAGAGGCAACTCTCTTACGCATTTGAAAAATAAATGTTTCTCTTCCTCTCCAGTTGGAACAATTTCTGATAAAAAATTGTTCGAGAAGTTATACGTTTCACTTAAACCTTGTCCAAAAAAATTAAAAAACAATAAACATAATTTTACAAAGTATTCACAGTAAGAACAAAATGTTTCACTAAATCGTCCCAAATGAAAATCATTTGGCAAGTTCATGGAATTTTGCACATGTTTTTGTAGATTTTGGAAAGCTCAGTGAAATCAGTGGAAACATGGTACTGAAAGGAAGAGATCTTTCAGTAAGAAGCAAGATTAGCTCAATAAATTTGATGCTTCAACTTCAGTTTTTTGGAAGAACGGATCGCCTTCAGGATCCTCTCGCTAATCCTAATCCTACAGCTGTATGATTTTCAATGAGCTCATGTTCCACCAAATTGAATTGATATTGGAAGTGATTATTTAAAATATGGATGTACAAAAATCTCTAGCAAAATTATTTTAAAAGTATAACAATAACTTGCATTTTTATAGCGCCCTTCACTCAGGGAATGTCTCGGAGCGCTTCACAGTGACAGTCTGAGAACGATCCAATGGGAGAGGGAGGGGGGAAGTAAGCGTAAGTACGATCAAAAAGGAAGGTCGTTAGTTGGGATTTGAAAGTGGGGGTGGAGGGGGAAAGGCAGATGGATTGAGGGAGAGAGTTCCAGAGCTTCGCGGTGTAGTGGCTGAAGGCACAGCCACCAATGGAACGGCGGGGACAAGGGACAAACAGGAGGCCGAGGCCAGGCAATCAGAGGCAGCAGGTGGTGGAGCAAATTGGATAGGTAGCAAGGTGCGCGGGTGTGAAGAAATTTGAATACGAGCGAGAGGATCCTGAAGGCGATCCGTTCGGTAATTGGGAGCCACACTGGTGGGATGGAGGTATGGAGTTTTGTGCGATTGAGAATCAGGGCAGTGAAGTTTTAAATTAATTGAATTTTGTGTTTGGTGGAGCTGGGGAGACCAGCGAGGAGGGTATTCTAATTGTCCAGCTCGGAAGTGACAAAGGCGTTGACGAGGGTTTCGGCTTCGCTGGTTGTTAGGTACGGACGGAAGTGGATGGAAAAAAGCAGTCCTGGACAGGGAATGGATGTGGGGAGAAAGGAAAGCTGAAGATCGAACCTGATGCCTAAGTTACGCATGGGTTCGGTGAGTCTGAGGGAGAGCCAGGGAGGTTGAGGAGTTCAGACCTGCAGGAGAGAAGACTTTGACAGGAGCTAAAGAGTATGGCGTCTGTCTTGCCGACATTCAGCTGCAGAAAATTTGCACTAATCCAGGCCTTGATGTCCATCAAACAAGCTGACTGGACATCAGAGGACTGGGAGTCACAGCTGGAAGAGACGTAGATTTGGATGTCATCCACATGCACGTGGAAGTTGACCCCATGTCTGCGGATGATATCGCTGAGAGGGATAGAAAGGAAAGGTGGGGATCAAACCTGACACCTAAGTTTGGTGTGTCTGAGGGAGCCCAGGGAGTTTGAGGAGTTCAGACCTGCAGGACAGAAGAAGTTGACGGGAGCTAAAGAGTATGGCTTACGTCTTGTAAGAGTCTGTCAGAAAAATTGTCTCACCGGGAGAGTCAAAAAAGCAGGTTACAGGGACAAGAAATCATTGTATAGGAGGAAATATTTTGCAAAATGGAGATTTTAAATGCTAGCTGCTTCCCAAGTCAAATGAGAATCCAATGACAAGGGCCCAATTTTGAATAAGTTCTCGTAGCCAGTATTTCTCCCTCAGCGAAAAAACAGAAAAAAAATTAACTGGTCATTTATGTAATTGTTGTTGTTGTGTTTAGAATTATTATATTAGTTACTGCACTTCAAAATACCTTAATGTGGGAAGCATCTTAACATGATAAAATGCTGAATCAAAATGCAAATATTTTAATATAGATACATAAAAATGCATAATAATTGTACAAGTCGAATGGCTACTTTTGAAATGAAGCCAACATACAATAACAGAGGTAACTGCTATATTTGATGCAACTGCAATGAAGATTATTGTAATATCAAGTTAGCATTCACAACACAAAGATAATAGATATTCAATTAAAAACTATTTTAATAGCATATATTTTGTACAAAAAGACAAACTGAAAAGAACTGGTAATTTCTGACCTCTCTTGAACTGCATTAAACTTGCACACGTACCTTGGTGGCTGAATTTTGAATCGTTCAAATACTTCAGGATACAGCAGTGGAAAAACCACCATTTCCTTGAGTGCCTGAATATGCTGGCTAAGTCCTCCAACACTATCAAACCACACCTAATAAAACAAAGTCCAAAAAAGTTAAATGAGCAACCCATTAGCCTAAGGTGTTTAGCACTGGAAAGTAAACTATGACAAATGTAATTTTTATAATGCAATAAAAAATATGGTACAGAAAATATATTCACACACAACAGTTAATGGCATCTTAATGCAGATTTATAATGGAAGATTTATTGCGGGTCATGTTGAGTTAGATTGTTTGATTTCTAAAGCACAACATCCAATGCATTTTAATAAACTGCATCAACTGAAAAAGGTTTGTCCTCGTGTGCCACCGCACTTGTGCGACTACTGGACTAAACTTTAACTATCCTAATTAAAGGGCATCTGGTATCTGTTATTCAATGTCCTAGGAGTCTGTCGGAATCTATTATCTCTATCTCTGTGCTTTCAAAGAAATGGAGATTTTTTTCCACTGCGATATTATGGAGTATTTCAGCGATTCAAAACTCTGTTTTAATCTGAAGGAATCTTTAATCAAATACTTCATGATACTGGAGTGCGAAAATTCACCATTTCCAGAAGTAGAGATGTTTAAATCTGGCAGACTGGTTGGACAACGTGATCCTGAGTAAATCTCACATTTTCATCTTCCAACCTATATTTGAGATGCAAAACCAAGACCAATGGCCATTACAAGTCCCCTCAAGTTTATTTCTACCTGTGTGTACCAAGAGTATTTTTTTACTTGTGATAACTGTGACATCTCACAGGGAATTCCTGGTACCTGCCATCCACCTAATGAGGGTTAAAAACTCTCTCCCTGGAGGAACGCATCCTACTTACCTAATTCCAGACAGTATTAGGGGCAGGCTAGCAAGAGCCAAGATATAGGGACCCCAGAATGTGCTTTGGCATACTGCTAGAGCTTAACCAGCTAAAACTGCATAGAGTGACAGTGAATCTAGTCTCCTGCTGCTTTTCTAGCTAAGACCACACTCCTGTTAAGGCTTTGGCTTACAAGGTTAACAGGAGCTGAGTTGGGAAGAATTCCTGCCCTCATGACCAGTCTGCCCTTCCACGTCCCACCAATAAGCCAGGCTACTGAGTTGTCATCAGCAGTACCCTGGAATACTGTGGACCAATCTGGCTCAGGAATTTAACTCCCCCTCAAGTAGTCCTGTTGGTGATTGAATTGGAAAGCCACAATAGGCAGAACAATACTCAAGAATTGCACGACCATTCTGCCATAGCAGAGAGTGCTCATCTTTCACTACCCCCAACCCCCAGGCTCAGTAATTCAATGGGTTGTAACCAGATGTAGCTCGCAAAGAATTTTTCCACAAGAATTTCAGCTTGCACGAAATGAAGGGCTGAGTTCACAGAGAAGTAAAGAGGTTCATGGAAAGCTGCAATTACTGCCAAGCAAAAATATGCTGATCAGCTGCAGAGAAATAACTACTGTAAGGCAAACAGAATCTCTCAGCTTCTGAAAATTGGCACAGGTCTTGAAGAACACCACTGAAAAGATTTCTTTCATTTTTGCTGGTAGAGGGGTTACCAAGAAGTGTCTAGCATCATAGGAAGAAGAGACATAATAATTATCTTGAGGGAAACCTCAAATTGCTCCAGGAGCTTCTCACCCATCTTCGTTCTACACCACATTAACCAACGGATCAGACTCAAAATTCACGTCCTCAGGTTCAAATTCCTGCATAGTCTCATCCCAACCAACCTAGAAACCCATCATCCTAGCCACTCACTCCACTCAGTTAACACAACATACTTCATGTCCCTTTCTTAATCTGCGACAAACATCTGTGCGCAAGCTTTCAGCCATTCTACCCCCACCATTTGTAACTCCGCCCCCAAAGCCCTTGTGCCTTGCTCTTGGCCCCTCTTCCTACCTTTAAAGCCTGCCTTAAAACCTATCTCTTCCACCACTCATTTAATTACCTTTCTCTCCCTCCCCATCCCACCTCCAGCTCAGATTCCAAATCAGTGTGTGAAGCTCTAAGAGACATCCTTTCAATGTAAATGGCATCATATAAATATAAATTATTGTTGTTGATGAGATGTTGCTAAGTGCCAAAACCACAGAGAAGGACAATTTATACTGAACACTAAGTAAGCTGATAACATAGTTTCCAAATTTTATTCCACAAATGTAGAAAGCAGACTTCACTGTTTGTTTGTGATGCATTTTAGAATGGTGAGAACATGATCAATATCCCACTGAGCCAAGTTCCTAATCTCACGCATATGTGTCATTCCGACACGGAAGTACACAGGAGTTAACTGGTTTCCTGGTCTGACCAGAGGGGTGAAAATCTCAGGAACAAGTGGAGTGTTCCGGCTCAAATACTTAAGGCACAATATGACAATTGTAAAAATTAAGCTAATCGGTACCAATCAGCACTAGTGGAGACACCCATAATGCAACAACAGGCACCAAGCCAAAGGCAATGTCCCATCTGCTTTTCTTCTGCTTATTTTCTTAAATACCTAGGTAAACCAGAACTGCCTTTGATATGAACATTTGAAAAACTTTGTACAACTTTTTGAAATAGTATTAAGCTTTCATTAAAGTATAACAATGTATTACAGAAAAATGCTTCACATCTGCAAAATTCTGAAGTATTTACCGAAGTATCGATGTTCATTGGATCTACATCAGCCAGACTGGCACCAACTTTCACACGTTCCCTTAGAATCCCACTTGCTAAATCTTCTGCTCTAATGTTCATCGGTAGACATCTGTTCAGTAAAGCAATAGAACAATGCTTACAAAAAAAATTTGGAACCTGGGTTTCTTTTCCAGACTATCAAAAGTTAGTATCTAGTGTTCAGATGATGGTGTTTAGTTACATTGTTCATTAGTGCAATACATTTTATTAGTAGAATTTTATAATTTTTATATACTATTTAATGTAGTCACTACATTTGAGAGACTGCACATTTATATGGCAGCTCAAAAACAAACCAATCCAAAAAATATTAAAAAGTGAGAAATCTGCATATTCACAAATTTAAAATATGCCTTCCAAAAGGTTAGCAAATTATAATTTAATCCATTCCTACTTATATTAAACTAGTTTACTGTGTTTAAGAATAAAACATTTTAAGATTGCCTTGGAAGTCCTCATGCATTACCTGTTCCTTGCTCTAGCCATGCTTTTAGATTTCCGTCTTTCAAAACGCTCTTCATCAGATGATGATGTGGTGTCACTGCTGTGGATTGCATGTTTCTTTCTTCTTTTTCGTGCAAAAAATAAAACAAGAATCATTACATAATGTCCCAGTCCTGCACCTTCCCATTTATAATCAAGATTTTGAACTGAAATTACTCATGTCTTTTTTTCCATGATCGCTTTTCTGGTGATAATAACCCCTTAAAACATTTTTTTTTAATAATAATTTGGTAGTGAGCCAGTGAGCCTAGCAAAGTGAAGCGGATTTGACTGTCAGTGACAAGCATGAACATATGTATCGTATCCTGTGGTTACTCTGTTTAACAAACAGCTGTAAACAAAAACAAAGATCAGTTCTTTCACACAATTATCTGTTATTCAGATCTTGTTTTTTGCTGATCCGTAAGCAGTGAAATAGAAGTATGGGAAAAAAGCTATACCAAGAATTTAACATTTTGATTGCAACTCTACCTGATGTGGCTTCTTCTTGCAGGAGATCGGTGTGTATCAAACAGTGTGCTTTGTCTTTGTCTCCGATGAACAGGCTCTGTAAATACAGAAACCATGATCAATACTTGCTTAAAGCAATGCAGAGATACTGCAATCAAAACCCAAGGACCCAAGGAGTCCTGTAGCTCAGTGGTTAGAGCACTCGCTTTGCAAGCGAGAGACCTGAGTTCAATTCCAGGCAGGGCAAAACCTTGGGCAAGTTTCCTTACTCCACACGCCTAATAATAATCCCTCCAAAAACCAAAAACAATACTATATTGATCATTTTCAATCTACGACTGTTTGTGGGACATTGCTGTGTGCAATTGGCTGCCGCGTTCGCCCACAAATACACAGTCAATTCACTTTACAGTGTGTTCTGTGAAGCGCTTTGGGACGTCCTCCCGACGTGAAAAGCGCTATACCAAATGCAAGGATTATTATTATTATTATTTACTTCAAAGCATTGTTAAACTTATAACAATGACAAGACATGCAAATGTTTGAAACAATGTTAATATTTTACTATACAACTTGACCAGAGTAATATCTTGCAAACATGATTGCTTAATTTGACACTCTTTGCAGAAAGTTTATATTCTATATTATTATTTTTTTCCAAACAAATTCAAATAAACTGTTATTTTGCCTTATCAGGAACATATATACCATGACAGACTTCAGAACATTAATAACATTTAATATCGGTTTCTACATTTATAGTTCTAGTTTTTCATAGAGCATAAATTTAAGATGCTGCAAAAAAATTTAAGAAAGTAGAATTTAATGATGTCAGCTATATATTTACAAATTGCTTAAAATAAAAACAAATTATATCTATAATCACAGTCTTTACTTTGCCACCTTTACCTATTGGAGGGGCTTGGTATCTCTGCACTGCCTTCCGTTGTCTCAGATTGTACGGTCTATCATTTTCTTCAGCTTCTTCTGCTTCATCTACATCCTCTTCTTCCTCCTGAGATTCTATGAACACAGGTACATGGAGATCAAAATTGCTTTCCTTCATCACTTTGCATAATCAAATGGAGATTTAATAACCAAGTCATCAACTTTTTAATGTTCTCATCAGTAAGAACACTTTATTTTAACTTCCATTATGGTAGAACAAATGTCACAACAATGTAAGTTACAAAAAATGTTCAATCCTTTGCATATAATGCTACTTTGACTATCGAGTTAAGTAATATACAATTTCTACTGTACTTAACTTGAATGCTGCATGAATAAGATGTTTTTAAAGAAAATACAGCAAAATAATTCTCCCTCTTCAGGACATTTATACTGAAGACTAAAAATCATCTAAAATAGTTTCCTAATTTAATTCCAAGCACAAGTAGAAAGTAGCCTTCACTGTCTGTTGGAGATGCATCATAGAATAGTGAGAACATGATCAATACCACACTGGGTCAAGTTTCCAATCTCATGCACATATATCACTTTGACAAGGAATTACAAAGAGGCAAACTGGTGTTAGTGGTTCCATGGTCTGATGGTCTGATCAGAGGGGTGAATACTTTGGGAACATGTTGCCCACCTTTGCACTCAATCATAGCCTGTGAATGGTCTGAACAGAAAAAGGAGAAAATCTGAAGGCAGGTCACCATTAAAGAGGTTTGAAGCAATGCTTCTAAAAAGACATTAAAAGCTCTGAGATTTTTGACTGTCATTGAGGTCAGAAAAAAAGAATTAGCACTATATAGTTTGAATTTCTCAAAGTCTATCAGAATTAATCACCGTCAAATATCATGACAGCTTTTTTTTGTAGGCAAACTTGTAGCAAGATTCCACAAAAAAAACATGAGGTGCTAGTTCAATTAATATGTAAGACCATTGGCCAGGAATTCGAGAAACATTCCCTCCTCTTTTCCAATAGTCTCATATGAGGTTTATTGTCCTTTGCTTGTTAAATGCATGAAGGATGTACAAACAGATTTTGGTACAAAACATTAAAAAGTTTAATCTGTTTAATGTCTCAAACAAATTAAACTAACACAATATAACCTAGCTTCAGTATTTTTATGCCTGTATAAAATCTATCAATGACAAATGTAGTTGAACTAGTGTATCATACCTTCACTTCCTTCCTCTTCCTCCTCCTCCTCTTCATCTCCTTCACTAGTTTCTTCAACATGGATAGGCATTCCATACATATTTCTTCTCAAAGGCTTCCTTTTCCTTTTCACACGAGAATACATATCCATGTTCTCCTATGATTTAATTGTTCATATTTTTCTCAATTACACAAAATTTTAAAAGTGTCTGCATATACCTACGCATACTTCAGTCGCAGTTTTAAAACTTGTTACTACTTAAAAGAATTCCAGGTTGCCAAAAGTAAAAATTAAGTAGAAACTTTATTGTAACAACATTTAGCCAATATCATCTTTTTTTAATTGTTTAGTCAAATATTAATTCCATTTCACCAAATGCATTGGAAATCCAGAATTCTCCTTGAACACACAACCTCCACAACAAATTAAGACCCTAAATAAGGGATGGAAACATGTTATTTTTTTCTCTGAACTACACGAGAACTACATGAGATAATTTGAAAATATTCAAAATAGTTTCAATCAGTGGAAAAAAAACTAATGCAATGCTAGATATAATTATTTGATAGTAATTAATGGGTTAGCAAAATGTTAGAGAACAGAGAACTTGCAACTTGATCTATTTGCTCTATGGAACTCAGACTCCCCTACAATACACCCACGGGATAACCCGTTTTAGTTTATTTCTGTGTTGCTGATATTATACAGCATGTGAAACTGGTAAACATTTACAGAAGAGCTTTTTTATAAATGAGCTAAGCATGTCTGACGGGAATTATTTGTGATCTTTTCATTCAGCTTCATGAAAACCCTCACTGTGACTACAATTCATTCACAATTAGTTCACGGAGCTTTGCCCAGCAATATAATGCTTCAGTATGTTTTTTGCCACATGGAAATGGTACAGTAAAACTCACTGTATCAGTCAGGACAATAACATAAAAGTGTGAGTTACAGGCAAACTTGTGCAAGTCATAAAAAATCAGATTTAATCAATAATCTACATTGTGCGTGCATGCTTCAATGCATCCAGTAAGTGCACATGCGTCAACAGGTAAGGACTTAATTTCCCATATTTGAATGCAGATGGTAAGTGTGCATGAGGCAAAAGGTCAGGACTTCTTTTCACGTTTCGGTTTCAAATGGAACACTAAGCATTCGTACTTTAATACTGCCAGTAAACATGCAAGGGTCGATCAGAACTTCATTTCTCGCAATTCATTGCGAGCAGCATTAGAGGTGTTACGAGTTAGGAGATGATATGCTTTATAAAATACTCCTAGTCCAAAGAAATCTTAAGTGCTTTTTGGCAAGAAACTGAATGGGATTCAGGTGCATCTATGACTTAAGCGATTATACAATTTATAAAGATAAGACTTATACGAGTTTTACTGTACAAACTCTAGTGGCAAAAGATACCCAACAAGTCTGAATAATGTGTATTTTCTTAAAATCCTGAACAGCAAAACTGACTGCTTTGATGCCCTTGTTTTCAATTACTATTGAGTTGACTTGATTAATGACAATAAGTTAGCGATTGTGCTACTCAAGGATTCAGATAGGGTGTAAAAACAGCGGAGTTACTGCTGAACTTTGAAAGTATTCTAGAAATAAAGAGCAATAAGCAATAAAGATCTGGAAATATGCCAAGTAAAAAGGCCAAGGCTTGGAACTCCCACAGTAATTGGGAAGGTAAAATATCACACGTCTTGGTACAAACCAGGAAGGTCCTAGGTTCAATTCATGATATGCATTGATTTAACTTATCTTCGCCTGACCCTAGTTCTTTGGGCCTCACTAAAAAATAGCTATAATGCTGCCAACAATTTAATATTCACCATATCACTTCTATGTCATTTACATGCAAAGAATGCCAACTTGAATATGGTATTGGAGGTTGGTTCAATGTCTCTGGCCCACATTATAACAAAGTATGGAAAAATGGCTGTTTTCTAGTTATCAGAGCTGACATCACTTCTTGCATGCTATGCAAGTGCCCAGGGGAGGGAAAAGAATGGGCAACTTGTAACAGGAATCATCGTAATTGATCCCTACACCGCTGACAAAAACGTGAAATGAAAAAAGATCTCCTGCTTTCTATCCAGCAACCTATGCTTAAAAACCTAAATGTGACGACAGGACCAGGCTTAGCTGTGATGCTTGGTATATTCAAGTAGCCTGTTGACACTCACGGTCTAGGTTCCAGCTTGAAGACTGGCACCTTGGGTGAGGTAATAGAAGAGTTGTTACTGTGCACGGACCTGTATCCCAGCTGTGATCACCTCCTTCACAATGAGAGGTAATCATAGAATCATAGAATGTTGTAGCACAGAAGGAGGCCATTCGGCTCATCATGCCTGTACCAGCTCTTTGAAAGAGCTACCAACTAGTAACACTCCCCCGCTCTTACTCCATAGCCCTGCAAATTTGTGTAATCTGTTATGGGCAGTAATATCAATCTACATATATATTTGTAAACCCTACCGAAAGCAATAGAAAAACAATCTCCATCTGATAATCTAAAACAAGTGGACCAATGACAGGATAGATTTCACACTGACATATTTGGATGTAAAGTTTTACAAACAATAGACGTGTTCATTGACAAATTAGCCACGCTACTAGCTTCCACCTTTTGTTTCATGACATATTAAGTTAAATGTACAGATTTAAGAGCTTTGCACTGGTTGAGAAATTTGAAATAGAGTAGAACCAATTTCAATTGCATTGTGTGTTGAATTAGCATTGCGTTCAGGTAGGGAAAAATCGCCCAGGTTCTACACTCATGGGCTGAAATGGAAGACACTAGCCTTCTTCAAGTACTGCACCCACCAAGCCTAACCCACCATCAACAGTCAGGCTTTCAGCATCTCTGTTACCTCTATCTGGAACTCCATCCTGGAGTTCTTTCACCTCGCCCCTCCCCTCACCTCAATGTCCATCTCAAGACCTTCCTCTTCTACTATGCCTTCAGTCATCCTTCCCCCTCCCCCAAACCCCTTGGCCCTCACCCCTCCCAAATCCAATGTGCAGCTCAGGTGCAAACCCATACATGGTCAAAATCATTATACACAACTCCCAAAGAATGTAATCCCTCTCTCTGATTACTCTAAATAGTTCCTACTGGAAATGTCTTGGATGTATAGGTTGAGTGAGAATAGGACTGAGCTTGGGTTCAATGCCTCTCATTCAAAGAGCCTGCCAACAGACATGGGTACAGATCGGTTGCCACTGTCTGTGGAAATGACCACTTAAGTGAGGGTGAATGGCACTCGTGAAACCATATCACAGTAGAAATAAATCAAGGGTACACTTAGGAGGAGGCAAGTGGAGAATGCTGGAGAGACAAGAGAAATTTGAACAAGCATGGAAAATAAAGAATCTGAAAGAGGATGACTGGAAAACAAGTAGAAAAAATATTTTGCATCCAACATACCATATTAGAGTGCTGGCATCAGATACTGGGATGTATGAGTAAGACACAGGCCCCAATCTAATTGTATCCTAGGCAAACCAGCATGGCAGAGAGGCATCATTAACCAATGCAAGAATAATAATTATTAAATTGGAGTTAAAATGTTTTTGTGAGGGAAATACATTAGAATTAAATAAATTGTAGGATTATACAGATTTAAGATTACTTACAGATATTAGAAAAAATGTGAAGATGTTTATAAATACTTTTATTGTATTATAATGAAATTACATCATAGCTGAAAAACTGGATTTAAAAGGAATAATTTCTTTATTCCATCCTTTAGCTGATGCATTAATCCAACGCCCCTTCTAACTGTCCAGGAAGATATTTAAAGATCCACGGCACTATTCAAAACAAAGAGAAGGGAGTTTCGCACAGTGTCCTGACCAACAATCCCCCAGATAAAATTGGTCATTCTCTTCATAGACATTTGTGGGATACTGCTGGTCGCAACTGGGCTGCGTGCTCATCTAAAAGTAGTCACCTCACTTCACAGTAAATCCTATGAAGCACTATAGAACATCTAGCTGATGTGAAATACACAACAACCTGCACTTATATAGTGCCCTTCACGCAGGGTAGTGTCTCAGAAGCGCTTAACAGTGGCAGAATCTGACTCCTAGCTGGTGATGGTGGGGGGGAGGTGGCCATAAACACAGTCAGAGAGGAAGGCTTTCAGGCAGAACTTCAAAAAGTCCTGCATATCAAATGCAAGGATTATTATTATTTTAGCAAAGAATCATGATGGATAAGTGCCTCATATGTGCACATGTGTTTAATAAAGGTTGAATAACTAGCACCACATCCTTGACACATCTTCAGCATCAATATTTAATTTTGCCCTTCTTGTTGCCTTCTGCAGAACCCAGAAATAAGAGTGGAGGTCTGTGTCTTAAAGAAAAGGTTGAGAAGAAAAATTATATTTCTGAAGTGCACTCCAGACCATGCTAATGTGCTTCATTATAGCACAAGCTCATTTATAATGCAAATGGGTGTACCCCATTCAGTGTGCACGAGTGGAACCAACGGCTAACTTTGGGTCATTAGGTTGTCACTAGCATCATTTCCTGATGTCCAGCACAATAATGTCCTGCAAAGATAGTGGCAATTTGATGAAACAAAGGTTGGTATTTGTAAGCAGGAGAGCTGGCTGGCACATTGAAACTGGCTATTCGGCTATTGTTATAAGGCAGGTTTGGATTTTAACTACTTCCTTATAACAAAACTCCATTGTGATATCCTGTTCACGTTTAGGCTAAGCAAAAAAACAATTTACAATCTCCAGCCATGAGGAAACAATTATAAATTTATGCAAATATACTTTCTTTCCCTCACCCCCCCAACTTTTCTGGCCTGCAAACTCAGCAGAAAACCATTCTGTGTTGTCATCGACATACAACCGTTTATTTACAGCTTCTTTCCATTACACCCAATTTCTGACTGCTGAATCTACAAATCCAAAATGGCATATTTCTAGAGAGGAAAATCAGTTTAAATTTTAAAATAACTACAACAAAACCAATCCTTTTATTAAAAAAACTGACATATTTCAGGTCATACATATATATTTAAAGTACTCTCTTTCCTACACTTAAAACCAAATATTCAAAAGTATTTTCTACCAATTCGGGAAATCACCCATAGCTTTACGAACATAGAAATTTGCAGGACCAGAATAAACCACTGCATTTCATGTGTCAACCCAATTATAGAATTATAAAAACTCACAAACTCTGTATCTGCCCACATCCTAAGGCGCTCCACTTCTCCAGGCCTTCGATTCTGCCTAATGTTGCTGGTGATGTTATCCATTTCTTGTAATACAGCCTCTGCAGTACTGGGGTAATAGTAATGCAAGAATGAAGACAAGACTATATTTGTTTGAAAGTAATTGTAATCTACAATAAAAGATAAACAAACTAGATTGTCCATTTACATACTAGCATTAAAGATACAACTTCACAACATCACAAGAGTTCATAAATAAAGGTTCAGGTGAAGAAAGCACTTCAAACATTTAATAATCCTTATACTTAATCGTATTCTGGAAGGATGAGATTAAATATAATTCCTGTTATATATTTCCTGGTAACCTGTTCCAGTTGTTAATTACCCTCTTGTGGTAAATATTTGTGGTTTCTGTCCTGAAATTGTGTTTTGCAACTCTAAACCTGCGTTTTCTTGTTCTCCTGTCTCAGTACATCTGAAAGTATTGTTCTGGATTTACTTTCTCAATCACACTTAAAATGTTGTATACCTACATAAAGGTCCCCTCTGAATTGTCTCCTTTCAAGACTAGCTCATTGCCCCAACACTGGGGAATCATCCTGATTGCTCTCCTCTGCATTGCCTCTACAACCCTTATGTTGCTGTGACCAGATGTATATACAGTACTCTGTACGCAGCTTGACCAGAGTACCATATAGTTATGACTTTCAGGACTCTGAACTCAACTAATTTGGCATTATAATCCAGCACCATGTTTGCCTTGTTTATTGAAGCTCACTGTTTTGACATGATGTGCAATTAGACAGCTGACACCCTTGGATCTCTTTCTGCTTCCCCCTTTGCAACTAGTACATTTGTTTCCTACTGTTACTTCCTGTATGTAGTACCTTGCATTTATCTGTATTAACAACAACAACATTACATTTGTATAGCGCTTTGCACGTCGGGAGGACGTCCCAAGGCGCTGTAATTATTATTTATCTGTATTAAGCTTCATTTACCTATATGATTATCCTATCAAGCTCCCTCTGCAAGACCTCTGCTGCCTCTTCTGATTCTACAGTTCTTTCTAACTGGGTGTCATCTGCAATTGTAGCTACATTACATTAGATCTAAGAATCCAGGTCAATAATGTAAATAAGGAACAGAAGTGCCCCAATACTGAGGCAACCTGCTTTATACCTCCTCTCTCCCCTTAATGTTTACCTAGCTCCCCTCCAACCCTCTGCTTCCTTCCCGTCAGCCAATTCTGAATCCATGTTCATGTCTTGCCCTTGTTGCCCAGTGACAGTTTATGAAGGTCGACATCAGATTGTGAAGGAAAGACATCAGTCAATAAGAGCTCTTTATACTGGATTCAGGCTCCACCAAGTAAGTTCATGGCAAATATGTTCAGCAGTTGCAAATAATATCAAGTGAAAAAGCTGAAAATGCTTTGTAAACATTTTATTAGATTATTCAATAAATATCAATCAATTGCTTATGTGTGGTTGGTAGTATTTAGATTATACAACACTGTAAATTTTACAAAAGGGAGTTTTCTGCTTTCAAGGGAGAGGCACATCACCCCATAGGAAATGGAACTTTTTATCACGCTTATCACCCAGGTTCAAACTCAAACATTAAAGACAGAAAGCAATGCTCTCTCACCTATGTACTACAAATTGCTTTTAATCTGAACCTCAGAAGAGCATCCTTGACCCATTGCCCACTTTAGTCGTTTTTTGTGGTCTCTCTAAGTGAAATTGGTCAATTAATGCTGAATAATGGGCAATTGTGTGGTATGAACTTTAAACTGTTTCAATCAGTCAGATGAGTGCATGTCCTCTAATTTCTGCGCTACAGGGTTCCCTGACAAGATGGCAAAGATTGCAATATTTAAGAAGAACAGATGCCCCTTCTGCTTCACCCATTTTATTCATCATTGTATCTAAAAAAAGACTAAATTCACCTCATAAAACACAGAAGTAATACAAAGTTACAGTACCTGTTCACTAACTGATCAAACAGCAGGCTCTGGTTAAGGGTTTCAAACTTGTTTCTCCTTGCCCGTCCACTTCTCCTAACTTCCGAATCTCCATTCATGAGCGAGTGATCCCCATCCTCTTGGGCTTCCCGTCGGTTTCCAGTTCTGAGAACTTTTCAACACAACAATTGATTACTAAATAGAGCTTGTTATTTTAATTGAATACTGTGTTGTAATCTATAAGATGATTTGTGTTTATGACCACAAATATGACCAGTAGTAGTGAGAAGCAGAGCAAAATACCATTAGCATTTCTATGAAAGAAGGGAGGAAATTCAGATTTCTTCCAACACTGGCACAAATTCCAGGGCATGGAGAAGCTATTCAGGTGGGCTTCACTTGAACGTTAATGGTACCAATGTCTTCACAGGGAGGATAAAGTAGGCTGGGAAGAGTAAACTAGTCAGATGTAGACCAAAAACAGTGAGGGTATTAGAAAAATAGAAACTACAAATGATAGGAGTCGAGGAAACAATAGCGACTGGCAATATATATGCAGGTCCCTGATATAACTAGGAGAGTGGACTATTGGGATATGAATGTAAAGGTACATGAAAGTGCACATATTATATACATTATAAAAATCAGGATACGAGTGTAATGGTGCTGCACAATTTTGTACACAAATGCTAGAAGTCTTGGGAATAAAATTGAAGATTTGGAAGTCTACGCTGGAAAAGATTATGATATTACTGGCAGCATGGAAACTTGCCTAACAATTATGTAAAGTGAGGATGGGGCAGAAAGGCCATTTTGCCCATTCTTTGTTTGATGGAGGTAATTACAATTATAAAAGGTTTAACAAGATCTATAAGGTGATAGCGATAAACAATAACATTCTGTTTTTGTTTATCGCTGGTTTTGTTTATTGCCAGCGCCTTGGGATGTCCTCCTGACGTGAAAGGCGTTATACAAATGTAATCTTGTTGTTGTTGAGTCCAAAACAAGTGGGTATAAATGTCATAGGCACTAGCAGATCTAAAAGGGAGTTCAGAAGGAACTACTTTTCAGTGGGTGGTTATAATTGAGTCCCATAGCACAGTGGTTATCAAGCTCGCCTCGCAAGCGAGAAGACCCAGGTTTGATTGCTGGGTGGGGCGAAATCTTAGGCAAGTTTCCTTACTCCACACGCCTCGGTTTACCTAGCAGTAAGTAGGAACCCGTTTATTATTTGATTGGCGGATTGCTTTCTGGAAGTAATAATCCCTAATAAAAAAAATTGGTAGCTTGGTCCACGGCTGTTTGTGGGACATTGCTGTGTGAAATTGACTGCTGCGTTTCTCTCCCCAAAATACACAGTGAATCCACTTAATAATAATGATAATAGTACTTGCATTTGATATAGCGCCTTATCACATCTTTGAGGCGTCTCAAAACGTTTCACAGAATATACTGTACTGTAAAGTGAATTGACTATATATCTGTGGGCAAAACTTGGCAGCCAATTGCACACAACAGTGTCCCACAAACAGTTGTGGATTGAAGTGACCAATTTATTATTANTTTTTTTAAGGAATTATTAGCCCTGGAAAAGCAATCCCCCAATCGACTAACAATATACTCTTTTGGCAATAACTTTAGATATGTCCTCTAGTTTTTGACTTACTGACAAGTGGAAATTATTTTTCTGTTTACATTATCAAAAGTCCTCAGATTAATAAACGTAATAAGAAAATAGTAACAATAACAATAATATTATTTATGGGACACTGCTGTACACAATTGGCTGCTGTTTTTCACCCACAAAATAGTTACTACACTTTAAAATATATCCTGTGAAGCACTTTGAGATGTCTTGAAGACATGATAAGGCGCTATATCCATTTCTATATATATATACACACATAATATATATATTGTATATATATTTTTATATATATATATATATCGCCTTAGCCATTTGTGGGACAATAATAATCCATCCAAAACAAAAAAAATAATAAATTGGTCATTTTCAGTCCACGACTGTTTGCGGGACACTGCTGTGCGCAATTGACTGCCACGTTTCGCCCACAAATATACGGTCAATTCACTTTACAGTCTATTCTATGAAGCGCTTTGAAACGTCTAGAAGATGTGAAAAACGCCATATCAAATGCAAGGATTATTATTATATCACAAATGCGGGCATTATTAATATTATTAAAAACCTTTACCAGTTCTCCTTTCAACCTTCTCTGTTTTAGGGAAACCAGTCAGTTTCTCTAGTTGCTCTTCATAAGTAAACCCACTCATCCCAAGTATTATCCCTCGTTGATACGTGCAGGAACACTGATTGTTCTGCAGTAAAAAGGAGGGGTGGTGCTTTTTATGTGCAAGAGAAAAGACAAAACAAGACTATTCTGAAACAGATTCAGGTAAATTTTAAACTTTGTAGCAAGCAATATTCAGGTGAAGAAACTAACTATTAGGATTTGTACAGGCCATCTAAGGAAGAATCATTAGATCTGATCTTTATTCTTAAAATAAATTGGGTATGGAAATCAAACAATCTAAAAATAGCAAAAATGTGTTTCTGGATAGGATGTTGGACTGCTACAAGACCAAAATCATTAGGAGAGGTGACATTAGATTGGATATTATGCAAATAGTAGAGTAGGTTACAGTGAAAGACCACACAGCAAATAATGATCAAAATGCAATGGATTTAGGCTTGCTATCTAGGTCAGATGTTCAACACAGAAATGCAAATTTTTGAGGGAATTAAGTACAAATTAAAGAGGCCAGAATGGATCAAATTGTTAGAAGGGGAAGGAAGAAATAACAATAAATAAATAACATGGAATGCTAACAAGAATTCAATGCTGACAATACAAATACAAAGTATATCACTGGCAAGAAGTGCAGCAGAGAGAAGGAAATTATTGCGGAAACAAGGGATATTAAAAATGGAGAAAAGGACAAAAATAGAACATTCCTCAATTTAGGTAGAAAAGAAAACTAGACAAAAATGACAAAGAATCCTAAAAGACTGATCAGGAGAATTAAAATAGAAAATATTAAGGTTGAAGCGAATTTGAAACAGAACAAGAAAGGCTTGTATAACTATCAGCAAACATTCAGTTAAGGAAATTTTAGGATCCCAAATTGGACGTAAAATCATGCCCGTGTGAACTCTCTGAAAGAACATATGGTTCCACTCTTTGGTCCTTTCCCCATACTTCCCCACCCCAAATGGTGTCTGATAACTATGATTGTTTTAAAAGCTATTATTTTAAAGCTATTTTTTAAAAAATATTCAACCACAGCTTTTGGTTGTGCATGTTATTTCAACCACTGTGTTTGGCTGTGCATTTCATGTCCTAATAACTTATTGCGAAAAAAATCTGCTGATCTCTCCCACTGCTGTCTTAGCAATGACCTTAAATGAATGCTCTCCAGGTTCTGACTCAAACACTGCTTAAAATAGCTTCTTCTCTTTACCTTATTAAACCTCAATGTTGAATACCTCTATTAGGTCTCTTCTCATATGTTGTCATTAAATAGCAGTTTTTCAAATCCCTCCCACCCCTAGTATCATCCTAGTGAATCTCTTAATTTCTCCGTGGCCTTGATATCATACCTAAAGTGAGTGCCCAAAACAGCATACAAAACTCCAACTGTGTACTAACCATTAATTTTGGCTTTGCATGAATTCTTCAATGTATTTTTAATTTGTTATCTATGTTCACTGAGGAAACAACAGGAACAACTTGCATTTATGTAACACCGTTCACACAGGGTAGCATCTCAGAGCACTTAACAGAGCTGGAGCTTGACATCAAGCTGGTGGTGGGGGTGGGAGGGGCGAGAAACAAACTGAAGGCTAGGTCAAACAGGAAAGTCTTCATGTGCAATTACAAGGTGGACAAGAGGAAGAAGGGGAGAGACTGAAGCACATAGTTTCAGTGTGTAGTGACTGAAACCATCGCCACTGATAGTAGAGCAGAGGGAATGAGTGACATGCAGGAGGCTGGAGCCTGCTGAGTGAAGGGGACAAGTAGAGTGCAGTGAAAGCAGGTCAGAGAGGTAAGGAAGTGCAAGGAAATTAAGTGATTTGTACATGCGTGTGTGTGCGGATCCTGAAAATCGATCAGTTCTGCAATAAGGAGCTAGACTGAGCAAAGACTGGGATAACAATAAAAATGTGGAGTTTGGAGCAGGTAAGGATACAGGCGACGTATTTTGAATTAATTTAGTTTTATGAATGGTGGAAAATTTAGACTGTCTTTCACATTTGGAGATAGGGATTCAAAGGATTAAAATATTTCAAATAAAGAAGTGACTGTTGGTTATTAAGTGCCATAAAAAAAAGTGTATAACAAGGAATCGCAGGTATTGTTGATTACGTGATTACAAACCAATAAAAAGGTTTATTATACAATTTACAGCGATCCTATCTATTAATTCTTAATCACAGAATTAAAGGCTCCTATAATTCCCTCCACACATATGGATTACATATCAGTAATACATATGCATCTATATGATGCATAACAGACCCAATGACAGGCTAAAAACAGGACTTGGCATTGGTGGAATAGAATTAGACATCTGAATTGTAAAGAGTGACTACCAACATAGAAAATGTTCAAACTAAAGAGGCTCAGGAGAGATCGTATTTAAGTACTGAAGATCCAAAAGAGTAAATTGCACTGTGATAATATGTTTAATACGATCAAAAAATTCTAAACAACCCGAGAAGAGACAAGATGAACATACACTTCAATTATTATTTTAAACAGCATACTGCATAGCCTGCCAATTTACAGATATCATCAACTTATCTCCTTTTCTCATTGCAGATAGTCTTGAACAGAACAGGAACCATTTCTTGTCAGGTTTTCCCCTCCCAAGAGATGATAACAATAATAATACTAATACTTGCATTTGATTTATCGTCTTATCAAAGTACTTCACAGAATATAGTGCAAGTGGATTGACTATATACTTTGTGGGTGAAACCGATCCCATCAGCTACAAAAAAACTATTTTTTTCATAATATCCATGTGCAATCTTTCATAATATTGTACTGCACTATAACATGAGCATTTCAGGAACTTACCCAAACTACTATGTCCATTTTGTATTGAAGCACCTGCACGAGTAGATAATCTGAAAAACAACCCAAAGACTATTGGAGCAATTTGTATAAAATAGTAGGTTATCTGCATCCTCTAGTTCTATGCTTAATAGTTCTTAATTGCCTTAGATCTGTGTGCCTCAAAGACCTAGTCAAATTTTACTGGATCAAATCAATTATTTTACACAAAATTCAGCTCTGCTACACACCCCTAAAACAAAAAGTATAGTCTTTGTTATGAACTCTGATTTGGAGCTAATGATAGATCCATGTACTCTGATTTAATTAGATGCAAGCAGGTCTTCTGGATTAGAAATATTATCAAAGAACTGGATACAAGACTTTCAACAAAATACACTTTAAAATAAATTATTGGTCAAATCAAAGACATATAGGAATATAAAGAACAAGGAAGACATATCTCAGTCCATCTGGCTAATCCTAATTTTAGAAAATAACTTTTTAAGAAACCAGCAAGAATATCCAAGGTTTGCCTACTTGTTAAACATGTATTTTCTTCATCACGTCAGCTAGATTCCGCAATTTAAAGTTTAATATTTGTGCAAATCAAAAATGGAATAACAATGGGAAAACTGAAATTAATCGTATAATTGTTCAGCTCTCACAATACTATAGGGATGTAAGAATAGGTTAGTTACGCAATTAAACAAGATTCTGTGGTTATATGCAGAAGATTTTTATGGAGATATAATGCTCATTTAATTTTATTAGCAATATATATTTGGTTGACAATTTCATTAGGTATTTGTGCGTATTTTGTAATGTGTATTTGTGTAAAAATTGAAACCAGCACAAATGATTGCCCAATAATAAACATTATAGAATCAAAGAAAGTTTACTGTGCAGAAAGAAGCCATTCGGCCCCACCGTGTTTGTCCTGGACCTATCTATTCTAATCTCAGTTTTCCAGAATATTATTTTTCTTTAAGCATTTGTAAAATGTCCTTAGAAATAAATAGTGTTACTCAGCTTCAACAGCCATCTGTGATAAAGCCTTCAACATTCTAACAATCCTCTGTGTATATATNAAAAAAAGTTACTTCTCATCAGGTGAGCATGTGTGGCTAGATGCCATAACAGATCGTAGCAATCCTCCAGGCTCCACAATACAGTCTGAGCGTGTTGTTTTTGTCAGTTATGCACTGTAAGCATATTCGCTTTGCAATACTTTTTTTTGGTCAGCTGGATCTTGCAATACTGACAATACTAAAGTTATTGCTAGCCTCCCTGTTCTGACAGAGAGCTTGTTCAGATAGCTCCCTGATGGTGGCTAGTGAAACTGCTGGAATGCTTATCTCAATTCTGTAGAAAAAAGTATATGCAATGTGAAAAACGAAAGATAATTATTTAGCATAGTCATTGCATATGCAGGGTCACATACAGTACTTTTTCAAAAAAAATCTGCCCTGTAGTATGTAGATAAAACTTTGGGTTCAACTTATAATTAAAAGAATTTTCCACACAAATGAATCTAGAAATACCAGTTTACCATTGGAAATACGAGTTGCAAAAAAAAACTTGAAGAAATACAAAGCATCAATATTACGTTACTCAATCCATCCACTCTCTCTCCTGTAACATGAAGAGTCCAGCTCACCTGGATGGTCTCGGTGTGCCGCGCCATTCTTCGGCTGGACCACTGTTATGGGGACTGCGATCAGCTGAAAGGTCACTAGAAACTGTGTCTGCATTCCTTCGCCTACGTTTTGCTGGTGGTTCAATCTGGCTATCACTCAAACTTGCATCATCATTACCATTGTCCTGTTGGAAAATAAAAGCGTATTAATAATCCTTAGATTTGATACAGCACCTTATACTGGAGATGTCTCAAAACAGTTCACAGGATTTTTCCATAAAGCGTACTTATAGTGTATTCGTAGACAAACACAGCAGCTAATTTGTACACAGCAATGTCACAACAATGAATGACCAATTTTACGTGGAGGATTGCCATCCATCTCTCCAAAAGAAATTATTCTCTTTTAAACTAATGGCATGGGATCTTTAGCATCTACCTGAACAGGCAGACAAGACTTTGGATTACAACACAATATACATGTATGTAGCAACCTTTCATGTCAGAACAATTGTGGGCACCCAAACAGGAGGATGAGAGCTGAACAGAGAGAGGACGGGAAAGATGACCGAATGCATGGTCAAAGAAGTATGTCTTGAACTTTAATGTCTCATCTGAAAGACAGAACCTCTGACAGTGCAGCACTTCCCAGCCCTGGTTTGAGCGTCAGCTTCTATGAAATGCAAATAGACTCAACTTTGAATCTTTAGGCAACACTGTGCCAAAATGTCAGTTATCCAGATGAGAAATGATATAAGCAAATCTTTATTTAAAAAAATGAGAAATAACACTTAAACCTAATAAACCAACTCACCAACCAGGTGGATTATTTATAGCGGTTACGACTTTCCACTAAAATCAACTGATTTAATCTTTCAAGGTGAACAACTGACATATTTTGTGCTGATAATCACTGATATGCCTTGTGAATGATAGGAACTTCAAAGTACTGAATTACAAGTAAAGATGTCAACTACGGTATATTAATCTATAATCTAGTGAATAAACAGACACAAAAGGATACTGTAAACCTAGGAGTAAATCCAGAAAGATCCCTCAAAGAACAAGAACAAGGAATGAATCTTTGCATCGATTATCAGAGATGTAGAAGTTGTACTGCATTCTCAGTGCCAGATACAGCTATGTTATTATAAGAGAATAGAAATAAAAGCATATTCTTTGTGGTCATCAGTAAAATAGTAATCTGAACTCCCTCAAAGATACATCAATGCATGGAACTGGTATGCAATGCACATGGATTTTCGTTAACTCTTCTGTTGATTTTTGACCATTAATGGCCACTAATGAAAGTCCTTTGAGACAATCTCCCGACGTGAAAGGCCTATAAGTAATCTAAATTCTGTTATATTAAGACTGTTTGCAATCTAGATGATCAGCAGATTGCTCAGTCTTTGAAAAAGGTGTGGTGATCTGAAAATTCAAATAGTAACACATTTTCAGTCTTCAAAATAACAACAATTAATGCATCACCATTAATGGAAGCATGAGTAACATTGTTATTCAATTGATCTATGTAGTACATTCAATATGAAAGGGAGTATTTTCCATTAAGAGGCTAATGGTTTCTGAGGATGCTTGATGGGAACAAGATCAATACTGTGTTTTATCACATTCATGAAGCCAGCCACACAACTTAATAGCCTTGTAACTCATCACATTTTAGACCTTCCTTATGACTGCCACACCACTGTTAGTTTTATTCAACTGGCTTACTGTATAATTGTTTTTAACAAAAAACAATATTTGTGAATGTAGTTTGGGATATGATTTTAGGATTCAAAACCACTTGAATGGGAAAACCTGCATCATAAAACAACAACAAATTACACTTGTATAGCGCCCTTCACGTCGGAAAGATGTCCCAGGGCGTTGGTTGGACAATCAGGTTTTGGACCCGAGCTAGGGATCAGAAGGGGCGACGGTGGGGGGGTTGGGAGGGTGGCCGAAGGCACAGTGGAAGAGGAAGGTCTTCAGACGGGACTCGAAGGAGGCAAGAGAGGCGATGAGGTGGATGGATTCCAGGATAAAGTTCCAGAGTGTGGGGGCAGAGGTGCTGAATGCCCGACTGCCAATGGTGGGACGGAAGTGCGGGGGACCTGAAGTAGGCCGGTGTCCGCCAAACGGAGAGAGCGGACAGGCTGATGTGGGGTTATGAGGTCGAAGAGTTGGGGGGAGGGGGGGGAGCAAGACCGTGGAGGAACTTGAAGGTAAGAACAAGAGTTTTGTACTCGATTGTCCACCTCCTTGCCCCACTAGTCGCGGACATCATTAACTTCTCCCTGTCATCTGGCACTGTTCCTTCCCCGCTCAAAACAGCCATCATCACCCCCACCCTGAAGAAACCGTCCCTTGACCCGTCACAGCTATCTAGCTACTTGCCCATCTCAAATCTACCCTTTCTATCCAAGGTCCTTGAGAGAGCCGTCGCCTCCCAGCTTCGCTCTTTCCTCTCCTCTCACTCCCTCCATGAACCCCTCCAGTCAGGTTTCCGTGCTGCCCACAGCACAGAAACTGCTCTGGTCAAGGTCACAAACGATATCCTGACCATGTGTGACCAGAGCTCCCTCTGCCTCCTCGTCCTCTCCGCCGTCTTTGACACTGTGGACCACTCAATCCTCCTCCACTGCCTCTCCTCCCACCTCAACCTTCAAGGCTCTGTCCTTGAATGGTTCAGGTCCGACCTTTCACACCGCCTCCACTTCGACGTGGCAAACAGCTTCTCCTCAAGCCCCCGCAGTGTCTCGTGCAGTGTCCCTCAGGGCTCTGTCCTCGGTCCTCTCCTTTTTACCCTCTACATGCTCCCCCTTGGTGACATCATCCGCAGACATGGGGTAAATTTCTACATGTATGCGGATGACACCCAACTCTACCTCTCTGCCTCCACCCTGAACTCCAGGACTACTGGCGTCCTGACCGACTGCCTGTCCGACATCAAATCCTGGACGAGGGCCAATTTTCTCCAACTCAATGCCAGCAAGATTGAGGCCCTCCTGATTGGCTCGCGCCAACGCTTCCGCACCTCAGGCGCTGGCAGCATCAGCCTCCACGGCTGCAAACTCAAACTCACTAAGCCAGTCAGGAAGCTGGGTATCTTGTTTGACCCTGAACTGTCCTTTCTCCCCCACATCCGCGCCATAATAATAATAATAATAATCCTTGCATTTGATATCGCGCTTTTCACGTCGGGAGGACGTCCCAAAGCGCTTCACAGAACACACTGTAAAGTGAATTGATTGTATATTTGTGGGCGAACGTGGCAGCCAATTGCGCACAGCAATGTCCCACAAACAGTCGTGGATTGAAAATGACCAATTTATTGTTGTTTTTGGTTTTTCGGAGGGATTATTATTAGGCGTGTGGAGTAAGGAAACTTGCATAAGGTTTCGCTCTGCCTGGAATTGAAATCAGGTCTCTCGCTTACAAAGCGAGTGCTCTAACCACTGAGCTACAGGACTCCACGACTGGCTCTGCCTACAACCACCTCCAAAACATTGCCAGACTCCGCCACTGCCTCACCCCTCAGGCTGCCGAAACCCTCACCCATGCATTCGTCACCTCAAGGCTTGATTACTGGAACCCCCTCCTCATCGGCCTTCCCAACTCTTCCCTTTACAAGCTGCAGATCATCCAAAACTCTGCAGCTCATGTACTCTCATGCACCAGGCTTCGCGACACCATCACTCCCACTCTCGCCCGACTCCACTGGCTCCCCATCCCCCAGAGGATCGAGTTCAAGATCCTCATTCTCACCTTTAAAGCCATCCATGGCCTTGCCCCCTCCTACCTCTCTGACCTGCTGACTCCCTACGAGCCTGCCCGCTCCGTTCATCGGGCTCCGGCCTTCTCCATGTCTCCCACCCAACCATCGGTGGCCGGGCTTTCAGCCTCTCTGACGCCACACTCTGAAACTCCATCCCACGGTCCCTTCGCCTCGCTTCCTCCTTTGCCTCCTTCAAGGTCGGTCTCAAGACCTTTCTCTTCGACTGTGACTTTGGTCTCCCTCCCACCTCTCTGCCTTCCCTCACCCTTACACCACCACCCCTCCTCCATGCTCGGACCCCGACACCTGACTGTTCAGCGCTTTGGGACGTCCTCCCGACGTGAAAGGCGCGCCATAAACGTCATTTTGTTGTTGTTGAATGGGACCCAGTGAAACCGGGCAAGAATGGGGGTGATAGGTTCACGGAGCCTGATGCGGGAGAGGACACGAGCTGCAGAGTTCTGAATAATCTGCAGCTTGTGGAGGGAAGACTTGGGAAGTCGAATGAGCAGCCAGTTGGCCTAGTCAAGCCGGGATGTAATGCAAACGCGATCAGGGTCTCGGCAGCCTGCAGTAAGAGGCAATGTCAGAAGCCGGCAATGTTGCAGATGTGTGGAAAGGCGGAACGGGTCACGGCACGAATGTGGGGTTCGAAGGATAGCTGAGGGTCAAAAAGTACACCAAGGTTTTGGATTGGCCCAGTGAGGTGAAAACTGTAGCCATGAATGGTGAGTGTCAGCAGCTAAGGTGAGGAGGTGCTGCCGGGAGCCAAGCAGGAGGGCCTTTGTCTTGCCAACATTCAGCTGGAGGAAGTTGACTCTGGTCAAGGACTTGATGTCAGGCAAACAATTAGCCAGGACATCAACGGTCCTGGAGTCAAGGGTGGAGGCAGCGAGATAGAGTTGAGTGCCAGCTGCATATATGTGGAAATTGACCCCATGCCTGCGGATGATATCGCAGAGTGGGAGCATGTATAGATTGAAGGAGGGGACCAAGGACTGAACCCTGAGGGACGCCACACGTGACAGTGCAGGGACGAGAGGAGAAGTCGTTGGTGGCCTCGAAGTGCAGACAGTGAGAAACGTAGGATTGGATCCAGGCAAGAGCAGAACCATGAGATGGAGATGGTACAAGAGGTGGTGGAGAAGAATAGAATGGTCAACAAAATTGAAAGTGGTCGATAGGTCGAGAAGGACAAGGGAACACAGACAGAGAGCCTTGGTCGCAGATGGACAGAACCATTTGTCACTTTGACCATGTCTGTCTTTGTGCTGTGAACAGCACGAAACCCAGATTGGAGGGGTTCATGGAGGGAATGCTGAGAGAGGAAAGAGCAAAGCTGGGAAGCGACGACTCATTCCATGACCTTTGATAGAAAAGGAAGGTTTGAAATATGGCAGTAGT